AGCAGTTGGGTGCATGTTTCTTTTTACAGTCTATGGTTTCTCCTCCCAGAGCTCAAAAGGGTAATCGAAGAAATGACAGATTTCAACAAGGAAGTTTTCCTCAACAATATGCATGCAATAGTTGTAAAATCGGGATCTGTTCACCAAAGAGATGAACACAGCATTAGACTGCTCATTTATCAAAGTGTTTTTCTGTAAAGCTCTTTAAAAACTCTAAAAGAATGTGTTTCTTCTTGACTCCTAAAAGATCAAATGATGATGTTGATAAGATGTCTGTATTAAGACATGATTTGTGTTTAAACATCAGCAAACTGTTCTTTTATTCTTTGTTCTAATGACATTTTTCCCATTATTTGTTGCAAATCTTCAGCGGTTTTTGTTGTAATAAATTAAAATGTCACCTCACATCTCTAACTGTTTGTTTCTCTGTATGTTCAGTGAATAGAGACTCTGACGTGGTGTACTCAGATGTCCATATAAACGCAGACAGATGCAGCCAGGTTAGTACAAACACACACTCTGGGTGGTAAGACGGTTAAATGGTAAGATGCAAAGCAACGTTAGCATTGACATGTCTGTTTGAATCAACCTCCCACAAAGTAAATATATCATATCTGCATAATTCACTTTGCATGTGATGTCAAACATGTCTTTAATGTGTTTATCTTTATCCTCTTCAGTGGAAGCTGGCTGCATGCAAACTATGTCTACATATCTGCCAGACATGATTAGTTAGGCTATGACTCAGATGTGTGGCAATTCAGATATTTTTTGCACCAGCAATACTTCATAATGTCGTAACACAAGAGGTCACATGAGGCACTGTGTGAAGTGAAATGGTCCTGTGTATGCCAGAGTTCCAATGTTTCCTTCTTTGTGTGTTTAGACTCTGCATTGTCTCAACTTGTGGCATGTTTGCTGTTTATCATTCGCCTCTGAATGTATTGTGGAAGTGGCTCCTTTTCTGAATTTGCAGCAGAAAATTAAGAAAATTATTTTTGGGCTGAGTAGCTCATAGATTTACAGGCCTGAACCAAGAAGTCAAGACAGACAGTTTCAAAATAATGCTAACTTCTCAATTTCCTTAATGACACAGGAAATGACTAATACCATGAGATTAAACAGGCAAAACATTTAAAAAGAGTCACGCAAGGACACAAAGTTTGATTGTTGGGCTGAGTGGTTCAGAAGGCGAAGTTAACAGACTGCTCTCAGCTCTAATGATGGAAACATAGGGCGTGTGCAAACCAGACAAACCGGCGGGGAATGAGAGGAAATGGGCCAGTGATTATATAAACGGTAATGCAGGATGTGAGCTAAAGAGTTAAGTATGTGGCAGGAAAAGACGAGAAGAGATCTGCCAGGAAATGTAATGGCATCGCTTAGATAGTCTGACCATCAAAAAGACAGAACACACATACATCATTAATTGCATTATTAATATTGGTAGTATTGATGTTTTTTTTTCATGAAATCCATGTACTCTTGTACAGTTACAGCTTAAAGAATGGTGGTAATATACAGTATCTTCACAGAGTTTTTCCTGAATTTGAAGTTTGTAGTGTAGACTCTACATAAGAATTCTCCTTAACCTAAAGTCTTCAAAAGTCCAGCAAGGGTCGTCTCCACTGGTCCGAAAAAAAGTTAGGGTATATAGAAAGTCTGTGACAAAATGACCCTACTCACTGTTACACACCAGTCTATAGGGGGTAATGTAGTAAAAGAAATGTCTCCATCCCCCTCAAATTTAATGAAGATTTTTATGATTGAATTAGAATAGTTCAATACCAATAGGAACTGAAGCAAATAATAATCAGACTTTTGCAATGTTGACTTCTTAAATAAAGTCTATAATTGAGCCTCTGGAACTGGAACAGCTGAAGACGGGTCAGACATCTGAGCTTCAGCAGAAAGTATCTTCTTATAATTCTTCATGCCCTTGCTCACTTCTTTTGTTTTTGTGCCTCCAGGGAAGAAATTTACCAGACTCAACAGAACCCGATGAACACCCCGGCTTAAGATCGGTGTACTACAAGCTGGGGCAGCATCCCCTGTCTCCTCCTGAAACAGATGATCATGTTTATGACCAAACAACAAACTTCCCACATGCATGAGCAGCTTAGTGATCCAGAAACAGAAGACGCTATCAGTGTTTCAATATCAAGCAGCTACTTGTATTCAAGGTAATTACACAGTATGTGCTCAATATTCTGATTTCTATACTGTCTCTTTTTGCAATTTATTTGTCGTTAACATTTCAATGTTTTCATATTGCTTTGAATTAAAAGTGTTAAAAAATCGTCCAAACATCTCAAAGTGTCTTTAGTGCCACAAGGCTTATGAAGAAACATTCTTGTTGGTGCACAGTAAGGATCAAACACCATTAGTACATCAATAAGCCAGAAATGATTAACACTCTTCTTTCTGATTAGAAGAACTTTGTTGCATTTATACCAGTACAGTTTGTTATGCTGCAGTGAGCCGCTTATATTTTTGTAACTCTTTTACAAGTTATGTTTGAATATTGGCCTATTCTTTGGAATGTGATTTTTGTACACCAAAACGTTGTAGCTGCCTTTGTTTGTGTGGAACATGAAATGTTGTTTTAATAGCATCTACTTTTAAAAACGAAAGAGAATGATGACAACAGTAAAGAGCATTTGACTTGACTCCAGCCCTTGATTTCTCCAAAAGTCTGTTAGCTATCTGTCGATTGGTGCAAACACACACAACACATTGAGGACAGAATATCACTCCTTCTAACTTCATTTGGGAAATGCAGCTGTGTTGACTTTTCTGGACTATGTGTTTAAATGAATATATTCTAGTATCAAAGTTTGCTCTGAGTTTGTAAAAATATGACAGTATTTCCGTGTTTGTGATTTTTCGTAAGCTGTTTGAGATGTGCTCATAGAAACTCTGGGTTGTCTGATCGTGTTGAAAACAAGCTTTGTGGGAACGTTTAGCGTGCTCTCCTTCGTTAGGGTTATAGTGAAGCAGATAACCAAAACATAGCGTGGCTATGTTGAACTCTCCTCAAAGTACAGGCCTCCAGACAACACTGTGAATGATCTGCTTCATGGTGTTGAAACTAAACTTTGAGGGACTCTGTGTGGACACTACCCCCTAGAGGACTACAGCCTGTTGAACTTTGCATGACACTGACACTCAAATTGAATTTGCCAGTTACAGAGCCTAAAGGATTATTATGTGCGAATATTTTTTGTGGTAACTAGTTTCAGCTGAACTAACAGGTGTACATTTATCAGCTCCCGTTCTAACAACGATCTCTCAGTTTAAGAGAATCCATAAGTGCTTTGTTATCGAAACCATGAAGCCTTATAGAGAACAAACCAAATGACGTATTTTTGTAGGCCAACCCGGAAGTAGCATCGCCATGGCTCTGTGGCAAACGCACATTTCTGAAGTGTAGGCGTTTTGTGTCTGGCGTGATGACGTTTAATGTCCCCGACAACCACTGTAGTCACATTTAGCCACTTGTTAGCAACCGCCTTTTTAAAGAACCGTAAAAAAATCCAAATTCACAAGTGGGGGTATTACCTAACATAGTTTATGTGGTCTAACAAAACACCAACATCTCTTCAGCTTGTGTTAACCACAGACCTTATTTCAGGCGTTAACCACAAACCCATTCAAAATCCCCGTTGAGTTTTAGACGATAGACCCCTTGGCGCTCAAATGCTAACTTATGTTACGGATTTAGGACTCATTCCTGTGGAGCTCTATTGGTGGCACAGAGAGAGTAGCATCTGCCCTGTGTAGAGCCCAAGCACAACTATAGACTAAACAGTACCCACCTATAACCTCTTCTGCCCTGCTGAGGGGCCAGCTCTAGTTTCTTGAATGGATGACGTACAGGAAAACAACGACGTTGACAAAGCACCATTTCAAGTTTCAGAGAAAATGAAAGTAACAGGTAAAGGATGCGGTAGACCAACATTTCTGTGTTCTGCAAAGTAATAAGAATACTGGCTACAAAGGGTGGAAACTGTAAGCACAAAAAGCAGAGCTGCATTTTGTTTAGAAGTAAAACACTGGCTGAAACTAAAGCAAGTGTGTGAGCATTGACTGCTTCCTCTTTGACTGTTTGGTCAACTTTAGTCACTTATTTGTATTGACTTTAGAATGTCAACATTTGTCTAGGATCACATCATATTTCTGTATTTGATTCTGTTTTAATCCTAAATGCTTAGCCAGGGACAGGGTTTGCAAATTAACCACAGCTAGACACCTGTATGCATGGCAACTTTGTATTTTACACATGAAGCAGTGTTAAATAAATGAATAATGAAATGATTAGTCTCAGTGGAGTTTAGTGTGGGGTGAAGAAAACAATGGACCTAATGCTGTATCTGCTGTAAAAAAAAAAAAATGCCTTCAATCAATGGTCTGTCTCATTAAGGACACAAGAATAACAATCTGAGCCTGTTTGTGACAAAAACTATCACTTTGAGTGGACTTTATTCTTGACAGGCACATTTGCCCCCCAGGATTTTGTTGCAGTCATTTTTGCAGCTGCTAGCTTAACAAATCTACTGGATGGTACCTTTAAATCATTTACACCTATTAATGTGTAAAATGAAAAAGAAGGACCAGTGTTTCGAAATATAAGAATTGTACTGAAACCCTTTATCATCCAGAGAGTTTTGTAATTTGTATTGTATTGTGTACTGTAAGCTAACTTTGCATGTGAGGTGTGACAAGACAAAGAAATACTGTTGGTGCCATCTGCTCACCATATGTCAGTTATTTATTAATAAGGTTAGCATGACAGGTGCTGAAGATAAGGTGCTGTTAAAAAAAATGGTTTCCTTTAACGGAAAGAGGAAGAGGAAGACAGTAGACAAAGGCAGCACTGTTCATATGTGAGTATGTTTAACTGATACTCCATCTTCATTCATCCATGTAAAGGCTCTGGAGCATTACATTTTTGACTTTTGCACTCCCTGGTGGCTGAATCAGAACGCAAGCACGGTGAGGATGAGGAGGCCAAAAAAAGATTTTAATGAAACAGAACATAGAATAATAAAGAGAAAAGAATAAATGCCCTTAATCAAGTGAACTACTGTACATTATAATTATATTATTATTATAATTGATGACAATTACATCAATGTATGAGTCAGATTTATTTGGAGGCTTACTGTGTTTGTTTCAAGATAGTCTGTTATGGTTTCGGTAGAAGTGAAGTGATAAATAATTAATTTCATTAGTTTGTCAAACGATGAGCCCTTTCACAAAGCTACAGCCTGTAGGTGCTCAAAAGCTTAATTTGGCAGTTTTCATGTTCACTGGAGTTATCAGCCCTTCATGAAGCAATGTTTTGTTTGTCCATACTGTTGAGAGACTGTTTTAAAATATATAATGGATAAAAAGACAGCTCCCTAAAAGGGAAGCAAAAATATTGAGAGCTCCTCTTGCTGACTGGCTGTGGTTTAGGTCATAAGCTCCGCCTCCTCCATGTTAACTGATGGAACATGGGTCAAACTTTTCAATCAAAATACACATCAAATAAATGTTTTTTAGACATGGTTTTGGCTTTACTTTATATACAGTAAATGGTAGATCTTTGGGCAGCTGTGGCTCAGTGGTAGAGTTGGTCTTCTCTTATCCAGAAGGTGTGGGGTTCAATCCAGACAGCTGTCTGTGAATGTGTATAGGTTTGACCTGAAGAAGACTAGAATAGCGCTCTACAAGCTCAAGTCCATTTACTTTACTCCAGCATGCACATCCCCAGGTTGAAGAGTCATGTGATGTGTTTTCTGATTAGTTCTGAAACCGTTTAAACACGTCTGGAATAAGATTTTTTAACCTTTAAAAAGTCATTTGGAAAAGAAAAAGTCAAGTATAGCTATATGCATCCAGCCTAAATGTATTTTCTATATAGACTTAATTCTGCTACATAAATGTAAGCCATTGTACATACTGTATTTTCCGTTATTATTTGTATATATTTATTCTATACTGTTTATTTTGTCTTATTCCATTAAAGTCCCCTGACAGGACTACTGCTGTTGATGCTGTATAAAAAATTATTCATCTACGTTTAATATTATTTACCAATTATTTAAAGAATAAGCCTGTCACCTAAAGTGTATTTAATTCATGTTTAATATTTCACGTTTACAATGAATGGTCTTAGTTTTAATTGGGAAACATCACTTAATCATGAGCAGCACTCGATCAGAATTAATTTACGAGAATTAAACTTTTCTTTGTAATGTCTTTTGAGTTTACCAGGACGTTAGGGACATGTCAGCCTCTTTCTTACAAACTGACCGTAGGAATAGGTTACAGGACTCACTAGTCCATGACTTAATATTCCTCACAAACGAACCAACTGCAAAGCTGTTAAAAGCTGCACAAATCTGATTGGAAGGCGAATATCTCATGTGTCTTATTTGAGGATGTCCATCTTGCCAGTACCTACAACAAAGTCGTATAAATTCAAAGAGAAGGAAGAGAGAAAATGTTAGTAATTTTATCATCATGATTCGAATCATATAAGAATCTGATCATATTGCTTCTTATGTATTAAATCATGGTTTACTTGTTTCTGCAATGTTTTACTTCACCAGGATAAAAACCAAGAGACAGCGCTGATATCAATAATGCTAAATATGAGTGGAGATCTTTATGTGTACAGCATTGTGCATGTCTTTTATCATTTGAATATGATGGTGTGTTATGTTATGAATTTGCATGAATTATCATAAGACTTTTAAAGTTTTGAATCTATAGAAACACTTACGTAGTTTTAAGGGATGATCCATCAGTCCACTTGTTACTATAGCTGGATGACATACCATCCATACCGATCCAAAACTTTGAATGAGCTCTAACCTTATTCAGAAACATCTTAAAGTGGGGAAAAAAAATAATGAACACTTCAAAAGTCCAATACAACAATACACATTTCTGGAAAGAGATCCTCACCATCTCGCTCTGGCTGTTTATGATCACCAGGTCTGCTCCGTGGAGTTGACACATCTGTTTACTGCGAGACCATGTGCTAACTGATGTTGAAAAGAAGTAACAACTGCAACCAAATCTCCTCCATCCATCAGGGCACTTACCTGAGGAAAGACACAAATCACCTTATGAATATGTGAGGGAATGAAAACATGCAGCTGTAAATACGTTTTTTAAGAATCAGTCAATTATAAATAAAGTCAATGAATAAAGCTGTAGAAAAGCTATCTAAATTACTCTTTGTCAAGTTAATGAACCAACTTACAACTTTCATTGTCCAAATGCTTTAATCTAAATGCTTATTTCAACATGCTGGCAAGCTCACACTGAAGATGATAAGCGGGTCACGATGGTCATCTTTGTTCAGTACTGTTAGCATGTTAGAATGTGGTTAGAATGAGTACACATCCATGCTAGTGGCCTTGACAGGCTTATTTTAGCGGTGAGCTTGTGGAAGCTTGCTAGCATGTTCACTGGGACAAGACAAATTTACAAGTGTGAAATGGTTATTTTGTTCACTGTTTAGTCGTTAGAGCATCCAAAAATATAGCTGATTAAAGATCTAAAAGGAAAGCCGAAGCAGATGGGAATGCCATTCATTTTAACTATTAGAACTTTATTGTAGTCATAACCAGTGATTAGGGGAGAAATAAATAATGGCTCCACTTAATGATTATGCCATGTGAGCAGTTAATGGGTCTCTTAACCTTAGTCATAAACACATCATTTATTCAGTTATCAGAACCTCATGTTTGAGGAAATGTCATGGGATTGATTAAATCATTAGAAATCATCCTCTGTGCACCATGGAACAGTCAATCAGTGATTATGGCAATAAATATTTGACTTATTAATATGTTTCAGTCAATATGGTGGGTGGACAGACCAACCAACCTTACATACAACCCCATGCTACTACAATGAACTCAATAGGATGCATTTTTACCTTTTCTGACATTAATGTTTGCTGTTCTCTTTTCAAATACTAATAACGTACAAAATGTTTAAATTAATTCTGTGCTTTACTGAGAGGACTGGCTTTACTTGTTCTCAGTTTCATTTAAGTTTGAATTTGTGAAACATGCTAAGCTCAGCATGTAAAAATTCATGCTTGGTTGAAAATTGTGAAAAAGTGAGAGATGAAGTTAAATTTTGTTGTTTGTTTGGCGCAAAAAAAAAAAGGACCCAATAAACATTTTTCTCTGTATTTGATACACAGGTTAATCCTCACCAACAGTCAAACTGGTTTGTAACTTGTCTCTTTCATCAGTCAGGTTCTGGTACTGGACCAGGAGCCGGTGATTCTCTGCTGTGTGATTGGCCAGGTCTCTGGACAGCTGATTAAAGTCTTTTTTATCTAAGTGGAGAGGAAAAAGAGCAGAACACAATGACAATCTGTCCTTCTTCTTCCTCTTTCTTCTCTCCACTTCAGCTTTTGTCTTTTAAAAAACTCACAGAGAATGCTGATTATGATGGCCGTGGTCAGAAGGAGGAAACACAGCAGGCCCAGACAAACCGTAGAAACTTTAAAAAGTGGCCAAGTTTCAGTTTGTTTTCCAGCCACAGCATCAGTTCTCACGGGCTTGGTTCCTGCAGGTGCACAGACATGAGTTAGGCATCTTCCTGTTCATAGGTCTTGCATAATAGACATAATAGAAAGAAAATAATTAAAATGACTACTGTCATGGAATTTCAATGCTTGTGCGTAAAAGGACATCTTAATGAAAGGGTTGATCATTTCATTTTTTATTTAGTTTCAGATGTGTTTCAGGTTGGATAAGGAAGTCACAGATGAATAAATCAATGTTTTTTTATGTGGTATAAAGTCTAAAGTGAGCTACTTAAAGTTAGTGTACGAAAAATAAGGACACGTTTTTCTCAATATTAGAATAGACTTTTGAAAAAGATTAATAATATGACAGCTCCCCAAAAAGTGTAGCAAGAACATTTAGAGCTATAGAGTATAGGTCATATTCACTGCCTCCTCCATGTTAACAGATGGGACATGTTTCAAACTATAAAATCCAATACACAAGGTTTCTGTCATATTCATTTCTTATCATGGTGATTCATTTCCTAGTGTTCAATTTTCAGATAAGTTTAGTTTTAATCATAGACTGTAAATATTACTGGACGAACCCTGACCCGTCTGTTACATAGGCAGAAAATGAGACGGCCGCATCCATATTGGATTTGCAGGCTCAACCTAACTTCGGATCAACCTAACGACAGCAGTAAATGAAAGATCCCCACAGCTGCTTTTAATTGAATACTGTTTGAAAGAACAGCTTTTTGATTCAATTTTATAAGATATCCTCAAGGTTAATTTTTACGTCCTCATATACTTTGTGACTTAGGGATTCAAGAACAGACCTTTATCATACATCTTTCTAATGTTTTTTTTTGTAATGATTTAAAATTTGTATTACATTTTCCTCCTGAAAATTGAATACATTTCGCTGGGATCACCTAGGATCAGTGTATTCCTGGTGGCATCTATATTTAGAGAAGTTGAAATTAAATCTTGCATGTTGAAAAATATGAGAAATGCACAGAACATCTTCTTAAACAAGAACAATAAAATATGAAAGCAAAATGTTGAGGGATCATTTGTGGCAATGCGTGAGGCTACACAAAGACTGTGGTTTTACCAAAACATGATATTCTGACCACTTCTTTTTTCACAGAAGGAACCGCAGACCTGTCTGGACATGTTTGGAAGGGGCCCGTTTAGAGAAATAGAAAGCTAGTGTGGCATCTCAAATCTGATGATTGTTTTCTGCCTTGATAAAATACGTAATGCGGGTTATTATTTCTAAAGGAAAGTTGCAAAAATTGACATCACAAGCATGGGAATGTTCTTTTCATATTTAACTGAAAATAAGAAAATCTATTTTATTGCGGTGTTGACTATTTCCTGATGCTCAGTTTAAGAACACAAACCTTCTTTCAGTAACATTTGATTTATTGTGACCTCGTAAGGTTTACTGATTCAACTTCTTTTATATTTCATCATTGAAGAACCAAACCTCATTATCTTTAAATATTAAATTAATGAAACTCTTAGATCTAAGCCAAGAAGTTTGAAGTAAAAACAATTTCTTGAATCATTTTATGTGTTTTCGTTGTGGCTGGCGTTAGTGACCCACCTCACAGTTTTAGTAAAATGAGAAAGAAATGATTTAAAACCACACTGAGAGCAACCTTTTGAAAAAACGTAAACCAATTTACCTGATTGAATTCACTTCACTTTCATATGAGACTATAATATATTCTTCTGTGAAAGACTCTGTTTCTCTGCTTCAATTTTTTAAAATGTATGAATTATCAATTAATGTTGTCAAATATCTAAATGAAGTGACTGCTTGATTCAGCTTTCTGTCAGGAAACTATGGAAGCCTTGAGAGGAAAGTGAGAAAAGAAACCCTGGGCCCAATACTGAAGTAAATCATTTGAATTTCAACAAAGGTCAAACAGTTAAACACTTTGTCCATATGATATATTTCACTAAATATTAATAAAAAACATAAAATATTTGAGTAAAAACAACTAAACTGTTCACCTTTCTTTTTGTGTGGACTTTGGTGCCCTCTGTGGACACAGTATATAGTTATCCCATTTAGAGAAAAGATTATTTGTATTTGGTGATGTTTAAAGTCTGTATCTGGATCCTGTTGATCTAATCCAGATTTCTTTGAACACCGAGAAAAAAGTAAAATAGATTACCAGATCGTGCATGAAAAAAGAAATGGAGCACATAAAAAGATTTTTCTCACAAAACTTCTTTTGAAAATTAGTAAACAAATGTGTCTTTTATGGCTTCCGTAGAAAAGATTGTGTGCTTTCACAAAAAATTAAGAGAAACTTTGGGCAACCTTCTGAAAGAAATTCAGTAGAGTGTTTTAGCTGCATCTAAACCTGTATCATCTACTCACGTTTCCAGATTTGTTAAATATCCTTTTAGGAATGTATATACTGAGTTGAATGACTCCAGTGTTCTTTTTATTGATTTTCTCTTTTCTTTAAATGGCTTCAAATCTTCAAGCCACAAGCTCTATAGGAGCCCGCTAAATAACATTATATTTTGATTTGACTGTCTTACCAGTTTCCTCTGGTCTGTAGCGTTTGTCTCCCTTCAGCTCCTCTATGTTGATATAAATCTGTTCTTCTGACTCCATCACAGATGCTCCGTCACCTCTGGTGTCCTTCAGTCTATCTGACTATCTATCTGTCTTAATGTTCGCCTACCTGCAGTCATACAAATAGATGGTGAGGCGAAAAGAGGGAAACACAGATGTTTCTGTTCCTTATATTACAATCAGTGTTAATATTTGTAAGAATGTAGATAAAATCTTCACAAATCTAATTTTTCTCAGTGTATACCAAATTTCATCCCAGATATTTCAACACACCTTTTCAAATCAAAAAGTGATTTGCTTCTTTATATGAGCTTATACTTTAAACGTTGATTTGTCGAGCATTCAAACCTTCTTTAATGAAATATTCAGCCGTCTGTACGCTGTCTTTTAAAACTGGATTTGTGTCATCTTGCTTTTATTGTTTAAATATTGAAACAACGTTTATATGTTGAAGATTACGTTAATTATGTGATTAAATAAAATTTATAGATTACAGATGGATACATTCTGATGAAAGATAATGATAAAATATAATAATAAAATAATAGATAACATATGGACATACAGTAAGAGTAATAAAGCCGTACCGTTAGAAAAATTCAATTTATTGTCAAATTTTCCTTTTTCTATTTATTTATAAATGTGTTGTGCATTATATCTTTTTTTCTGAGTTGTTTTATTCAAGTTTTTTTTCATAATGATTTTTGGAATGATAGAAGTTGTTTTTTACTCAATGCTGCCCCCTGCTGGTTACAAAACCTCCAGAAGCTAAGAGGCCTCTTCTGTTGTTCTCCGTGGCCCGTTTCCTAAATGCATTGGTGGACTGAAAGAAATTACATATTTTCATAATTATGATTTTGGTTGATTTTTTAGTTTGCAGTTACATTTGAAAATTAGTATAATAACCTTCATGATGACACAATCTACGAAAAACATGAATCACTGATCAGGATATTATAACTTCTAGGATATCAACATCTTTGTAAAGAAAATATTTTGTTGACCAGAGTTCATGAGATCCAGTCTCATTCAAGCCCTCTGCAGTCTACATTTTCTTTATAATCTGCCTAGAACAAGAAAGACAGTATTATTTAATACAGTGGTTCTCAACAGGTGGGTTGAGACCCAAAGGTGGGTCGCGGAGCTGTTTTCAGTGGGTCGCGAATGTGTGTGTTTGGAAGAAAAATGCTGTGAACAAGTCTATGAAGCACTTTTTTTTAACAAGTTTGTTTCATTCAGTTTCTTAGTTTATCACTCTTTGTACCTTCTGAGGTCCAAACTGCATCATTTTTCTTGAAATAAATCTTGATTGATTGAAAAATATAAGACATTTTAGGTCGCAATTTTTCATGAAGGAGTAGTTGGTGGGTCCTGAGGCTCGACCAGTTGAGAACCACTGATTTAATACAAATTAGGCAGTTTCCCTATAAAGCCAGTTTGGGGTGTCATATTCTATCAGACAGATTATGATTAACTACCTTCAGGCTGTCTAAAGAGTCAACATCCACTGTGACCATCCAGTCTCCACTGTATAACTAGACTCCCTCTTGAACAGCTTTCAGCTGAACTACAGTACCGCTGTATCTTCCAGTAGCCCTTCGTTAAATCCAGTGTAGTGAAAAAAACAAGCAGTGCCCAGCCAATCCAGAAGATCCCACCTTTCTTTTGTGTTCAGGCAGCCTGCAAGGTTGTGAAAAAAAACTGTCACACCTGGGTGTCTCTTGTTATGGTGCTGTATGAGGTTTGTGCATCCTGGGAAGGGGGGAACACATCAGCAGCTGGGACTGTGAAAGATGGAGGGAGGTGGGGGCTTAGGGTACCACCCCGCACAGCAAACCAACGAGGTGAATACACCATGGCCCGGCCCCGGTGTACCACCCCTTGGGCCCTTACTGGAGCGCTTATGTCTTTCCTGAAATGGGGACCACTTGGTCAACTTCCATTGGTGGACACTCACTCTGGAAGTGCCCAGGCTGCCCACAACTTCAACATTCCTGTCCTGACGTTGTCTCCTGCGGGTGCCGGCATTGGATAGGTGGATACCAGCAACCATGCTCTCAGACGCAGACGGCGAGGTGATCCTCAGATAAAGTGGCAGCTGCCTGCATGTCCACAGGTACTGGTTTGGCTCAAATCAAATCCATGACCACCTTCTCCAACAGTTGCCCCTCATTAGCAGACTCCCCCAGCTGCAGCCACCTCGACGCCACGTCCTTCAGCTGCTGGACGTGGGTGAAAAGACGCCACCTGGTCCCAGTTTGGTGCTAAGGAACCAACAACAGTAGACCTCAGGGGAGAAGCCAAGCTGATCCAGAACTGCCTTTTTGATCCCAGAATCCATCCCGGGAAGACGCTTGCAGGCTAGGCAAATAGCCCAATCTGCCACCTGCACGCCTCGGCCATGTTCTGCAGGTCAATGCCAGAGAGAGAGGAGGTGGGAGTGCCGAAAGGGCGGCCCCATGGCCAGACAGGTGCGACATTCATTGATGAGCCACTCCCCTGCAGTTGAGCATAAGCCAAGCCCCACTACCACAGTTCCATTGGATTGCAATACAGCACCAGCCTTACACTTAATTGTTTGTTAGTTTATCACTGTTACATGTTACACTGTTACAGTCCTTTACCTTTCATTGCAATTCATCAATGTTACATCACGTAATTCATAATTATTTATTTATTTTTTAAATCTGTCAATTCACAGTCATCCTTCACAATAAACTTGCCATTTGTTTATGATATGATGTTATAATCGTTAAAGAAGTTACATTTGTTCCTGTAGTACAGTCATTCTATGCTAACGTCATTATTTCAAAATCTGAAAGAAAGCGTAAGATTTGCACCCAGTAATTACAAAACATTCAGTCATACACATTCAATACAAAAAATGATTGTTTTTCCAGTATGGAAAATATAAAAAGTCCCATCAGAAATATGACATATTGACAGTGCACATCCAAACAGTGTGTTTCTGCACACCTAAGCATTACAAATCACATGTATTTGATTATTCATTACACAAAAGTCCAAAAGGTTGCCCCTCAAAATTCTAGTACACATAATCCAACATTAAATATTCATGTCGATAACTAGGAGGTGTCAAAGATATCCTGTTGTGGACGTTCACCTGAGAGCAGCTCCTCAGCCAGCTGACACATCTGACGGCCAGCAGGAGCGCTCCAGCACCGAGGAGGATCTTAACCAGGCTGATGCCACCACCTCTGCTCTTTTTCTCGTCTTCTTTATCAAAACCTCGAGAGAAATTCACAAAGCATGAAGCAGCATTACCATCTGACCATTTATTACTTCTTGAAACAAGCTGGACTCTTTGGGGTCTGTTGAATAATATATAAACACATTTGTGGTTTTAATGTGACAGACTTTCAGCATTGAAAACTTGAGCACCAACCTTCCTTAATAAAAACAATAACTATTACTGAACAGACTTTACTGTATTATTAGGGACCAGTTACCAATGACAATCGTAAGACTGATACTGTTTTTTCTGAACTTGCTCATGATGAACAACATTTTTTTCCCCTTAAATGAAACATAACTTCTTTTTGCATTTTTGCAAAAATATTTCTTGGCAAAGATACTTAAACAGTGCTCTCTCTTAGGTCATTTAGGACAATTCATTCGGGACATTTTAAATGTATTCACAGATCCAAGGTGATAGAATGGAGCAACATTGAGCAAGCAACGTGCTCTTGGATCAGAATGTACCAGATGATTCAAAAATATATACTGATATTTTGGGTGGCGATATTGTATCGTCTCATGGCCTCAAAGTATTGATATTTTTTATTATATTAATAGCAAATATTCTTTTTAAATGTTTAATTGCTGAAGGGGCTCCCCAATTCCATTTGAACAAGTTGCATTGTTGAAAATTAGATTAGACTGAAATACTGACAGTTCAGATTGTGAGCTGCATTCAGCTTTTTACAGGGTTTTACTTTTATCACAGTGTCGGTCAGTCTGGGGGCTTGACTCCCCTTGTGTAAAAATAAAAAGACTGAAGTCAGATAAATAGACTGAGAATGTTTTCTTATTTGACAAACGGTACTTTATTAGATTTAATTTTGTGGAGATAAAACGCGGTTCAAAAAGTGAATCGCAATGCTCAGCATATCACAAAATGCTTAAAATCGCAATGATATTGTATCATGATAATATCGTATCGTATCATGATAATATCGTATCGTGGGGCCTCTGGTGATTCCCCCCCCTTCTGTATACTCCTCCTGACCTGTGTTTGCCCTAGATCTTACAGACCTGACCCTGTACACACCTGAACACAGTATTACCATATTAGAACTGACCTATCGCCGATCTTTTTTATGCACCCGACAATCTTGGTTCATAAAATCTGCAACTAAAAATGCACTCCCAATTGGCAGGCTGGATACAAAATGTCTCATCTCATCTCTGTCAAACATTTGTATGAAGGAGACCCGGACAGAAGAGAGGCTGCGTAGGGTCTACGGGTTTTTATCCATATGAGCACGGATGAGCAAACATTATCGCTTAATGTGTTTGGTGAGGGCAATCCGCTTGCTTTATTTTTTATTAATTTCATTTAGCACTGTTTAATCTTTTGATCCTGTACCTTGAAGTGTTACTGACACATTCATATTTTATCAAAATATTACCAATTTAAAAATCGCAACAACATCAAACCACCTATATAGCGTTCAGCTGCTTTGAACTATTGTAGTGGCAGGTTCATTTGGTTCCAAAGATATTTCTACTGGGGAAAAAGTATTTATTTGTCATTTAACTTTGATTTGATGCCAAATATAGGAAAAACTGGGCAAACAAGACAAAAACCAGCTCGGAGCCAAAATTAAACAAAGTAATTTGGGTGTAATGAACATTATCTTTAACCAGTCTTTAAATTGCCAAGAACATAGAGACATAAACAAATGCTGCCTTACCTTTATAACACTTCTCCAAACCAGACAGGACATTACTTTGCCACGCAGCTCTTGGTCTCTTGCTTGCTTTAAGTGTCCTGCCGTCATGTTGCACATCACTGTAACTAAAAGGTCTGTTGTTGTGTGATGGCACATTGACATTGTGGTGCACCCTTTTTTCATGGCTGAATGAATTTCCGAGAAGAACCCAAAAGCATCACTTTGCTGTGTTGTTTCTTTAAAGCCAGCGAAGGTGTCGAAAATGTCAAACAATTGCTCGGTCTGTTCATGTATCACATCTGCATCACAATACTTCACCACCGGAATATCTTGATAGAAGCCCATCTGGGTGAGAAAAGAGGGGAGATCCATGTGCGGGCACTGCAGGGCTCGGATGAGTTCGGAGCTGATTTCATAGGTGTCATCAGGACTGAAGCTCCCGGAGAAATCTCCGTTGTGTTTGGTGATGTAGATCGTCTCCACCACCCTGCTCCTCACCTGGTAACCGATGATGATGCGGTCTGTGTTGTAATCGCCATTGATCCCATAATTTTGCGTCACATATGCTGGGAGGTCTTCAGATGCTGGGTAGGTTTCTGTGTTCAGGTTGCCAACTTCATAGTATGCAACCTAAGAGAGACAGAGAGAGATAAAATAGCATTTAAGATAAAGAGGGAAAATCTTTCTTACAAAAATCTAGTAAAAAAAAAAACTTTAGAATCAACTCCCCTCTCTTCTGGAGACAGGAACCGTATTGTCTTTTTCCAACAATGAGTTTGCATGAAAGAATAATTGAAAGTGTGATCAGTGAGGTTGCAAACTGAGAGGGTTCACCCAAGAAAAAACTTCCTCACAAGCCTCTTTGCTGACATTGTGTTCGCAAAAATCTTTACATTTCACTCTGACGTCTGTAAAATACTCATACAGCAATAGTTCCTGTAAATATAACAAACCTTTCTGATTATGTAAACAGTGCTCTGGTGGTCTAACAAAGTCCACCAGAGCATATGTTTTCTCGTTTTTGAAGGGATGGAACACCACTTAATTTAACCTGGTTCTCAGTCTTGTCTGGGGAGGTAAATGGTTGTATTTTGGTTTCATTGATTTTGTAGGTCAGGTCTACTCCCTCTTTGGTAGATTTCTTTTTGTTTTTCTAGTCGGCCATGATTCACCCCTGAAGTGTATTCAGTGTACTTCCTGTGTTGCTGGTAAAGAATAGAACTTGTTTCAATAAATCACGTCCTTCTCCAAGCTGTGGAATAGAAGTCTCTGTGGCTCCTTTGGGGAATTGGGTCTTTTTCATGTTATGTCTTCTTGACCAACCCTATATGGAGCATTACACGACCAAACGTATCTTCATGTCTAAAGTGTTGCAGTGCTTCATAATAAAAGAGAAGAAAAAGTAACAAATGCTCACAACATGTAACAAACCTGTTTCTTGTGCTTTCGGCGTCGGTCCAGAACAGGAAGAAGTTCCTCAACATTACCAAACAGGTGAAAGCCAAAGCAACCTTTTTCTGGATGACAATCAGACACCAGCTGTGGAAACATACTCGTATCACTCCACATATAAGTGCTGTTTACTTATTTCTTATAAATATGTATTTCAAACTGCAGCAACATTATCCTTTTTTGAAGGAACTGCTATGACCTTGAATGTTGCACAGCTGCACATTGGCTACATATGTCCAATAGCCTAGTTATTAATACAGAAAGTACATCAGGAGAACTATAATGATAAACAATATTACCTTCATTATTACAACACATTGGACAAGCTCACAGATCACACAATCTTTGGCAAACCAAAACAGCAGCTGAAGGCCGTGGCGAGGAAAAGGACGACCAAACTGTGAATTCATCAGATGGTCAGTAGAGAGAGCTGCCACTGAACCATGGTGGAGCTAAAGCTCGCATACACACACCTGTATACAAACAGACACAACAGCTTCACTAATGCCAAGTGCAAAGATAATTATTCTAACTCAACATTAAACATAAATGAAAAAGACTGAAAGAAAAAATGCATTTAGTAACACTAGAACAAACAGCAAACATACTAAAGGTCATGTTATTTTATTTTAAGCTCTCCTAAAAAAAAAACATTGGTTTTTCTCGTTATCATCTGAAGATAAACTTATATTGTTATTTTCCAAACACTATTATTTGAATGTGAGAAGATCTAAGAACACCTTTTATCTTCATAAATGGTTGTAAGGTCTTTTTTTTCACAGAAATAAGTGGAGATAGAATGTTCCTATCCTTTTATTTATTTATTTTTCTGGCTCTATTTTCTGGCTTTCAGGTAAAGCATTAAAAACTTGCAATTTTGAGACAGGCTTCCAGAATATGGCATTGTCTTAATAACTAACTAACTGTGACATAGTTATAATTACATTTTAATGAATGAATGCATTCAAAAGCATAACAACAACCGACGTTCAGAGATTGATTAATAAAGAATAATGTATCACATTTTGTTTACCGTTCCTCCAGCTGTAATATTTACAGTCTATGGTGTCACCGCCGGTTGTTTACCTTTCTTATTTTGAATAGGCTATAGGTTTGGACAATTTTAAACAAAGGTTTAAACCGTGTAAAGGTCGATGCATTTAATCAGAATGACAGCCCTACCGTCAGATTTAGGGGTAAAGGGTACAGTCAAGCGGCAGTCATAACTAAATAGACGAACCCATCTTGAAAAATGAAGCCAATGCGGAAGTGGAAAGTCCAATTTTTTTTCTTTATTGAACAAATCGCATTCAACATTTGCATACGAAACAGAAAAGTACCTATACGTAGAAAAAAATATAGATTAATAAAAAATATATATATATAATATATCAATACATTTATACGACGGAGGATTAGGGTCATTAAAAATTCATTTTTTTTTTTTAATTTCGAGATTAAAGTCGTAACTTTAGGAGTTCGAGACCAGCCTGCCCGAAAATGATGAAAGTAGAACTCTTAAAGTCTTTAAAGAATAAAAGAAAAAGTCGTTATTTTAGTCTATAACAGAAGAGCAGACACTAACAAGGCAGACCGATAACAGACACAAAGTTGTGTTGGGGCTTTACTTATGCAGATATGAAACTAACATGCTTTTGGCACATCATCATCTTCACATTGTCATAAAATATCAGCATCCTGAAAAGATACTGCAAGAAACTGAAGAAAGAACCACACTGACTTGGATGAAGTTGTCTGCAGATGAAAATACTTTAAGAGTTCTACTTTCATCATTTTGAGCAGGCTGGTCTCGAACTCGTAAATTTACGACTTTATTCTCCTAAATTTACGAGTTTAATCTCGAAATACAAAAATGAAACAATTGTAACATGGCCCTAATCCACATTTAACACTGGGAGGTTGGAAAAAAACGTTATTACTCACTCTACAAGGGAATACACTTAGGCTACTGGCCTACAAAACTACAATTTTAGGAACAAAGACATGACTTCATATAGTAGTTCGTTAGGAACTCAGCATTTTCATCACTTTTATAGAAGATAAGTAATGTTTACATTCATTTTTTAAATAGGTAATGGATGGTTTGCTGTTAATCCATTTGCATTTGTATGTAGCCTATGATATTTACCCAGAAAGAGGATTATTATTATTGACCATGTTGGACACTTTTTTTGGAAGATCAACCATATAGCCTATCACAGTTCAAAGGATGGGTTCTCAGTTCCAATGTTTAACCATAAAGATCCTGCCAAAATTGGAATGTGATTGAACAAGAAAAGAAAATGTGCTCAACAGTTTCAGGTAGGCCCTACTTCTAAGCAAAATCCATATTAATCTATAGGCCTACTTAAAAGTGAAACCTTTTAGGTTTCAGCAGCTGGGTAAACATCGCTCAATATCTTAAACTGCATTTATTTTATTTCAGGAACTACTGGCATTTAGGATACTTACAATATGTATTAATTATCAATGTTTCATTTCCTAATCTTATTTTAGCAGGCGAGTTGAAATAAAAAAAAGAATATGCATTTCAAAGCCCTTCCAGTAAACTTATTGTTACATTTTCATTCTCTGATGTGCATTACGCCAATCTTCAGTACTGGAAGTTTAACTGAAACATTTGAATATGTCAACCTATTTTGTGTCATGTGTTTTACTACAGGAGGCAGAATAGCTTTACAAATGGGAGAGAATTCTCTGTAGGACCAATTCACTTTTCAATAAATGAATTCAACTGAATTGGCCACATTCAACCATTAAATCAACAACAAATAATATAGTGTGTTTCTCGTACCATTCTTTTTTGAACAGTCTTTCTATTGATTGTAATGGTCCTATTATTCCGCAGGGTGGAGCCATGTGGTGTGAAGAGGAGTGTGATAGATAGATGGATGGATGGATGGATGGATGGATGATAGATAGATAGATAGATAGATAGATAGATAGATAGATAGATAGATAGATAGATAGATAGATAGATAGATGGATAGATAGATAGATAGATAGATAGATAGATGGATAGATAGATAGATAGATAGATAGATGGATAGATAGATACTTTATTGATCCCGAGGGAAATTCAAAGCATCCAGTAGCAGGTTACAAAGACGCACATGACATGAAACATTTGTTACAAATTAAACCGCAAAACCAAAAATATAATTTTCCAGTAATGCAAAATTTGTTTATGGAAGTTTGAGAGCTTGATATGTAGTCTGAAGATTTCAAAGTCACAGGCCATCAAAAGAAGTGCAAACTCCTGCAGTTCGTCTGTGGTCCAGCTCCAGCTGCGTGCACTCGCTGCGTGCCCAGTTACGTGCTCGTTCACGTCTTTACGTAACATACGTTGAAGCGGACGTCCCTGTTGCGTCATTTGCGCGCCTCGCTCCCGATGCACCTCTTTTCCCGAAAGCCAATAGATAAATGTTTCGATTTCAGGTGAGTAATATTCCTCTAAAAACCCTTTCTCAAATATAACAGGTAGACGTTTTCAAGAGAGCTGGTTGTAATCTCAGGCTGCTGGTGATTTAATGTTTGATGTTGTGTATTGTTTACGCGGCGGGCAGATACAATGCGGCTGGCGGCCTGAAAGCAGCCCACTTGCCTAACGTTAGCTCTCCCTCCCTGTGGGTACAAAACTGAGCTTCATCATCTTCACACCAGCCTCTTATATGAAAAGACAATTTCAGATGGATAACAAACCCGTCCAGAAAGTATCTCTCTTGTCAATATTAGGGCAGCAGTTTCCCCTCGACGTGGGTCCTGCGTGATGTAACTAACGTCAGCGTTAGCATTGTGGCTAACAGGTTCTCTTGCTAACTGCAGGGTGCTGCAGAGGCTGCTGGAAAAACAGCCATGGCTTTAATTTACATTCTGCTATTCATGATTAATATTTTAAAGAGAGGATACAAGCTGTTGCAATTAAAGATACTTTAATGTTAAGCTATGATTTCAGTTTATGAGAGACCATGCTGGGTTGCTATGGTTAACTAATGTGTTAGGAGGCTGTTCTGCTGTAGTATTAACATTAACTACTTTATTGATCTAATTCAGTAGAGTCTTAGTCAAAATGAATTTTCGTTCAACTAAATGTATCACTTCTCAAAGGTAAAATAGCTCACAGACCTATGGGGTGACTATAGGGGTACACTTTTAATTTACAACCATTTACAACTCTGTTTTTGCTCATTTACATTTAATCTTTCATATTTAAGACTAGTAATGCTAAATTAAATCCTGGTTGTATATATTCCCATTCTTATTTTTGATATTTTTTGTGCTTATTTATTTTGTATTTAATATTATATTGTGTTTAGATTTGCTCATATTGTGTGTTTGGACAACCTGCTGCTGTAACGCCACAATTTCCCAGTTTGGGATCAATAAAGTAATTCTATTCTATTCTATTCTATACAAGGTACATGGAGGTCACGATTTGGTAAGAATTCAGTACAACCGGATATAAGCAACAAAAATAATTTAAGGTTCAACTCTGATATATTTTAAACCAACAGAAGTGTAAGTTACACTTAGTTCCTTGTAGTATAAATTAGAACTGCGTGTGATATTTGCTAAAGCCTGTAGTGTGTTAAACATTTAACAAAAAAAAGAAAGGAAATAAAAAGCAACATGGGACATGAATAACATCTTCTGATTTAAAAGTAATAAACAGACACACGGTAAAAATATAAGACGTAGTACATAAGTGCAGTCGATAACATTTTCATTGTCAACTTCTGTTGTCCGTGTACTATATCTACAGAACAGCACAAGAGGCAAGTTGTCAGACCATTATGTCTTTGGGGAAATTAGATTGGTGCCATAAATAAAAAGCAGAAATGAAAAAGGCAGTGTTCAAAATTTTTCCAGACATTTTGATCTAGTTGTGGATACTGAAAAGGAGAGTATTGTGACTGTTTCGGTTGCAAATATGAAAAAGGCTGCTGATTGGCTGTGGTGTTTGTGAACATCTTTCACTCTGCTTTTGTTGTCACACAGAAATTAATAATCATCCCACTGGCTATTGTGAATGTATTGTTACTGAAGCAATTATTAGAATCACTCAGCATCAAGGGTGTGTGTGTGATTTCTCACACAACAATAATTTCATAATGGCATGGTGCATTTTGCAGGTTGTTTTCAAACACAGTACGTACCCTCTATCAGAAAACTAATACATATTATTACCACAAGTTGGATGAAATCAGGTCAAATCAACCAAAAGCTTTGCCATTGTTGTAATTTATGGAGCTGTCTGCAGGAGTTCAATAGAGGCTGAAGTCTCACAGGTGTAACCAATACGTGCCACATTTATTTACACTTCAAATAAGTGGGAACAAGTACATGCCAGACATTTGTTTACTCCAATACCTTTTAACATGATTACTTTCTGCTTGTTAATTAAGTTTAAAGTCTAGTCTTGAATCTTGATCGCTTCACTTGATTAAAAAAAAAAAAGGGGGATTTGAAGATGTCACTTTTGACATCCTGATGCTCTTTTGTGCATTTCATAAACTAAAATATTTATCTTATCATGCCTCCTTCTAATCCCCTCCTCTTATTTTGTTCTTTTTCATACATACATTGCACTTGGATATTTTTTTCATAAAATGTTAATTTGTTTAACCTTTACTTTCTTTATTTATATGCCATTAAGATTTCATTGTTAAGGGTTTCATTGCACTTAGTTGTTTTATGGCCTGGCCTTGTAATACAGTCTTTGTATTTCTCTGCCAGTGTGTCTGAGCATGAGAAGAAAAAACGATGTTGACTTCACCTTATTTCTCTTCAGTCCCTGGATGAAGACTGTACGTTGGAGGAGGAAGACGATGGATTGGTCGAGGAGGAAGATGAAATTGATCAGTTCAACGACGACACCTTCGGAGCTGGGGCCATCGGTGGGTCATGCATAGAATTAGCTATTTTTAAAATTTGTTAACATTAAACTTAAGTGCTTCCACAATTTTCTCTCCAATGCTTATACACAATTAAACAATGTTGATGTTGTATTTCTGGAAGATGATGACATTAAATCGTGTCAAGACTTCTGTTCTTTAAAGAAGCATTATTTCTAATTTATCTATCAAAATACAAACAGATGTTTATCTTGAACTGTATGTAAGATTACATCAGAAATGACTCCCTGCAAGAGATTTAACAACAACTTCGGTCTCTCCTCTGCTCCTACAGATGATGACTGGCAGGAGGAACACAAACGCCTTGCTGGGCTCGTTGAGAAGGACGAGCTTGGAGCAGGGTTGGGGTTGGGAGGAGAGTGTGATTTAGGAGGAGCTGGGGATATGTCTTCTACCCCTCTCCCTTCCTCTGTGGGCCATCTCCCCCTTCCATCTTCCCTCCATTCACTCAAGTTCTCCCCATCCCCCCATGGACTTCCTCCGCCAGGTCAGTGTTGAAATTAAAGGATGCTGATAGCATTCATTTCTCTGCAAGTTCTCAGGATTACGTTCTTTTTTGGTCATTTTTAAGATTAAGGAGTGTTAAAACAGTCTGATTATTTGAGTTTGACTGCAGGACAGACTGAATGGATCATTTTAGAGACACATTTGGCCCTCAAAGGCTATTTACACAAAACAAAGCAATTTGAATTTATTTTAGTGAGTTTGCTAACCCAATTCCAAACAGTCAATTATTGCAAAAGAGAATTACACCTCTGAGTTTGTGAGTAGCTATTAATTTCCAAACCAATGCCAATTCTTGACTGATCAGAATAAAACCTTAAGTACCGGTATTGTTTTTTAATTTGACTTTTGGGTGGAATTTTTCCTTTCCCTGTTGTTCACTGTTGATATAGTTCAATAATACTACCTATGGGCAGCAATCAGGTTTTATTTCAAATTCACTGTTTTAAACACAAGGAGAACATTATTTAATGACAGGATAACCAAAACCGGAAACTATGGTCTTCTTAATGTGCAGAACACATGATGCCCCGCTGATGTGAAACGTTGAATCATGTATTTTTGATGTACAGAGACAGTGTGAGGCATATGCAGAGCACACGTTTTCCTTACACGACGTGGGCCTGCTACTTTGACACCATTCACTGCTTCCATGTTTACTTCAGTTTAGCCTTGTTCATTGATTTATTTAACGGGGATCATGCACATTTCAACCGTTGTCCAGAGTTACCAACATGTCGCTCATTTGCACTCCCTGAGTGGGAAGTTGATAAAAAAAATACAACACAATACTAAAGTTAAACTGGACACGGCTTCATAGTGATCCACCCATAGGCTCCTCTCTCTGCAGTAAATTGTAATTCTTCTTCTTGTCTTGTATATTTTGCTAATACACAGCTGGCTACATCAACAACTGAAGCGTCCTCTCAGCTGAGTGCGTCTGCCTCTCTACGCAGAGCACGCAGACAGGCATCTCTTAATTACTGCTCATATTGATTCGAGGTTAATGTACATGAAAAGCGAGTGGCAACTTTTTCATCAATTTTTCTATTAGAATCAAAACGGGAAAAATCCCTTGCTTTAAATAATTGAGTAGTCAGCTGTTTGGCCGACAGCCAGCGCTTGTGGTAAACCCTCTGCATAAACAAACAGAGAAAATACAGGGTGTGGGTGGATGAGGTCATTTATTAAGTACTGCGACTGCAGTGTAAGGCTGCTCAATTATGGCAAAAATCAGTATCTTGATACTGTTGATTGATATTGAGATCACAATTATTAAAGGTATAATATGTAGAATTTTATTAGAACATTACATTGAAATATCTAAATGAATTAAAAATGAGTAGAAATATTTAACATAATAAGCTATGTTATATATTATTGTTTGTTGAGTACTTAACATTAGCCCAAATATTTCCAACAGTTATCAAAGCCAGAGAAATTTGTAATTTTAAAGTTGTGACGGAAAGTATCTTGTCGTGGCGGCTGCAATGACAGAGACGCCATGATAGACACATGTTTATTGTTTCCGGGCAACATTGGATGTTATGTCAAAAACGACTGCATAAGGAAACAGAAACTTCTACTGAAAGCTGCCGAACTTTTGCCGTATGCGCTGCTTTGATAAAGAAATCATGTAAATTATTCTTGGCTACATTGTCAGTAAACATATTCTCTGCCTCAGGACGGTTTCACCTGTTCGTCTTCACTGCGGTCAGCTCGGAGTTAGTTTTCATCGGGGGTGGGGGTGGGTACGTAGCAGAGAGAACTCCCATGATTCCCCGCCAGCCACGATGTCATCTTTCGTTATTGTTTTGATGGAGAGCCCCCTGGTGGCAGAATTTCCATACTGTGCGTTTAAAGAAGATTACTGATTGATTTTACAACATTTGAATCAAACACATTTGTCAAACTTAAACCCTCTTAACACTTCAACATTCTGATCACTTTGAAAAACATGCAATACTTGAAAATGTATTAGTGGAAAAAATGCTATATAATGATAATAATAATAATGTATACATCAACATTAATTTAGTGGGTTTTTGAGGTAGATGTAATGTTCTCTTCTGGCCAAAGGAGAACAAAAAACACTTTTGCCATACATAACAAAACCTATAGACAAAATGAGCCCAACACGACAATGCAGCGCAGTATTTGTTTAGTCTCGATTATTTTGTTTCACGATTGTAGGAGGTCAAAAACATAATCATCATTGAAACTCCAATAATTGCCCTGCACTACTGCAGAGGGGACTAAACTCCCCTTATGATGAGTGGTGGGTCTCTGACGTGGCTCATTCGCCCTAAAGTATTACCTTATAGCCATTTGAGCTTTCCTCTTGTTTCAGGCTGGATGTCCTCTACTGGAGCATATCCAGACAGTTCCCAAATATCTAAAAGCAGGACTAAGATTTAAATCTATCTTTATTACTTAAAAGCTACTGTGCACGATTCTAAACCTGTTGGTGAATCTAAAGTGAAACTGTTGTTCCAGACGCAGAGGATCGAGCAAGTGAAGGTGGCTTAGCTGAGTCCCTGGCGAGGCTCATCCTGGAGGCTGACCCGGCAATTGCTGGGGTCGGGGCAGCTGAGAGGCCAGGCCCACCCCCTGGTTCATCAGGATCTAGCCTGTCTGCTCTGCAGGGGCTGGACCGCTCCAGAGTCCTGTCCCAGCCCTCCTCCATCCCACACCCCGGCCAGCCACACCAGCATCACCATCATGCCCAGCACCAGCTGCCTCCTGGGCCCTCCACCTCAGGTTAGATTGTGGCAATATATTTTCTATTGTATTGTTGGAAGCAGTTACAAATCCGATTACCAATCAGCTGTTAACAATGACCTGGATAATTCCCGTCTGCTCACTTTGTCAGTCTTTTAAAAAAAATGTATCAACTTTAAAGACCATAAGCATAGACATCATCATGAAGTGTATTAGTAAGGTGATCGTTATCGCACGCAGCCAGATAAGCTTGAGGGCTTCTTGTCATAGATTCTTTAGTTCTCTGATACTCTATTGGAAGAACAGAGTACTTACAAAAGACATTTCTCTTGTTTTAGTTTTTTGACTTTGCATGACTTTTGGAAGTCTTTCAATATGTCAAATGTCTACAGCAGCCTTTCCCAAACGTATGTGTGCCAATATGAAACCTGAAAATCTTCTGGGGCCCAACAAATCCCTCACACAAGTACAACATGAGACTTCAAATATTCACCTCCATGTTTTTATTTCACAAGCAGAGCATTTCAATGTGAACACTTGATTTTGAGAATGTGATGCACATTAATATTATAAACAATTAAAAACAAAAACTTGTACTTGCAGGTGCACTGTGACTCTTATATCATGGCTGCACTACATGACCTTAAGGTGTAAAGATGAGCCTAAAATCCAATTTGCAACTTGTTCAAAAATAAATATCCAACCTGATAATTAATGAAGACAAAACAAAAAGGATTACGATTTTAAAGTGAAGAAAAACACACAAGACTATACTTTACTATACAATGTCAGTATTTTCCATCACAGACAGATTTACCATTGCTGTATCATTTGATGCATTTAACGAGATAAAAGGTCACTCTCATAAGTCCTCAAGTTGACTATAAAACAAGCTCTACTCTGTTCTCTGCAGGATCACATGCAAACAGTTTATGTCAATACACTGAATATGTATCACTCGTAGGGTAACGTTAAATTATATCACCTGGAACTCACCTAATAAGAGGGTTGATGCTTCATCTCATTTTTCTGTGTATTTCATTGATTTTAGCTGATATCTTCTGTGCTTACATGTTTTCAATCTCCTCTCTAGGCCTTCCTCCTGGTCCTCCCTCTTCCATGCTGAGCTACCAACAGCAGCAGCACATGCTGCGCAGAGGGACGTCTCCCATGGGCCAGGTTAGTTTTTTTTTTTTCTAACTCACTATTCAAGTCGGAGTTCTTAATTACCTTCATTATTTATATAATCTGTGTCTGAATCACATAATGCATAAGGACTTGAGATAATAAGCTTCTGATTATACTCATGTTTTATGTCTTCTGCTTTGATAATGGTTACCGGTATATTTGTCTGAAGAAATCAAAAGATTATCATGGATATGATTCTTTCAGATTCATCATAAATTCCAGATTTTCAGACTTGAAATGTTGACCCAAAATACATTTGTAATTCATCTGTCTAAGATATTTGTATTCTTTTTTCCCCGTATTGTCTCTCTTAGATGAACTCTCACAGTATCTGGGAGAACAGCATGGGATTTGGACCAGTCAGCGTCACCCCTGGACTGGTTACTCACATGGAGGTGTGTTGCACACGCTCTTCTATCTCTGTTTCAAAAAATGAACAGCCATATGTACTTTACAGGATATTTATGTTTTGGGTTCTACATGAAGAACGGACTTAATACGTTTTGTAGCCTCTCCAGTGGATCCTTAAGTAGACACCCAGTAACAGGCTGTAATTTACAGGAATTCTCCTTAAACATCGCAACATGAATAGCCATTTCTGAGTTAAATGTCAAATATAAAGAAGAGCCTTTGTTTGAAAAGTTGCGGCTTTCAAACAAGTTTGAATATTTCTAGTCTGTAACCTACCCCCTTCTTTTTCCTCAGGATAGTCCACTGATGTCCATAATCAAGGAGGTTGGCCTTCCTAAGCGACCTCCGCCGGGGAGGAACGATGAAGGACGGGATTTTTCAGAACGGGTCCCACCTCCACGCTCTTCTTCCCCTGTGATTGGCTCCCCTCCGGTGAGGGCGGTGCCTATCGGTACACCACCCAAACAGCCGATGAGCCACTCACTGAACCATCAGGTAAATTTCAGACTACTTTATTAGTTTTGTAGAGTTTACTCAGCCTTTTTCAACTTTTCCCGATCATTAAGGACATAGTTTACACTAAGTCTTCAAAAAAAATGTAGAGATTCTGAGAGGATTTGGACAACTCTTCATTTTTTCAGAGCTATATAATATCCAAGTTATTAAGATTTTGGTGGGCCAGTAAGCAAACATGAACATCAGCGACTGCAAAGTGCATCAAAAACACAATTTTTAAACATGGAAATGCTTTTATTAGGGTTTTTGTTTTTTTTGTTTGTTTTTTTTTTTAAATTAGTTTTATGGTCTGTTTATATAAGCAAAGTGAGACGGACCACAGCTGATATTTTAATGTTTTGTATTTTAATAATTTAAATATTGTGTTTTTAATGCTCTGTTTCTTTAACTCTATAAAGTGCTTTGATTTGCTTTTTATATGAAGGGTGCGCAATAAAAAAAACTTTCCATGCCTAGCTCTAACATGTTAGCATTAGCATTGTCTATGTTAACCCTGTTCTGTTTGTATACGTGTGTGTGTATAGATCCACCATCCCACAGCGGTTCATGTGAGAGCCCCAGTGCAGCACAGATACCCTCCTCCTTTCCCCGAGCGACTATCACCCAACACCCTTCTCAATATAGCTGTGAGTTTTTCCTCTCCTCCCTCCTCCTTCTTCCCCCTACCTTTTTATAGCTCTGTATGCACATTACATCTCAGAAGGTCCTGGGCGTCTTCCAGACTTTAATGGCACAACACGAGTATCGAAAGTGTTTCAGGGACATCACTCGCAAAAATGTTCAACCTGGGAACTTATATTTGTTTCAGATGAAACAAGTTATCAGTATTTACCTATTGTGTAATTGCAACCAAGAGATTTATTTAACACTACATTTTAATATAAACCTGAACTTCTTCCTGGAATAAAGTGGTGATAGTGAATGTTTAGAATGATTGTTATGGCAACCAGCTGACCTTATTTGCTCTTTTTGAAGCCAAACAGAAAAATCCCTTTATTGAATTGTTTTATCTAAAAACTTCTTCTACCTTTTCTTTGTGGTCATTTTGTTATTGGAAGTTTCTTTCATTTGATACAAGTTGTCATTCTCATGTTATGTGCGTATCTATGTCTCGACCCTGATCATTACTCTCCTGGAGTCTTGTATCTGACACATTGCCCCTTCCAAAACGGCAAATAAACCTTTTTTACATGTTCACCAGGGTTAAACTGTTGAAGTAAAACATGGGGATTTGTGGGCTTTAGAGGGTTGCATTGCAGACAAGGGCAGTCTTCTTGTTTTATACTGTTTTGATGCTGATCTTTGTGAAGCGTTTTCTGGTGTATCATATTTACTGTGCAGACATCTAAAAATGGCATGAAAGTAAGTGTTAAAGTCAAGAGAGGTTAATATATTTTCATGTTTCCAGGGGTTTGAAGCTTCTATATGCATTTGATTTTTGTTTCAGAACTCTCCACTGTGTCGCGGTCCGTTCCCTCCAGGAGTTGGTCCAGTCCTGTCTCAGATCCAAAGGGCCCAGCTGCTCAACTCACAGGTACCATAAACCACCACATACATTCACACAAGCTCTTTTTACATCGAAATCATGCCACAGACGTGGAATGAAACAATGATAAACATTGTATTTCATTGAAGTTACATTTAGTGGAATAATATGATGTTCTCTACTGTGGTTGTTATTGTTTGATGTTTCTAAGATGTCACCCTGTAATTCTGACCATACAAATGTGTTGATTTAAACATCATTCATATTAGTTATTCAATATAGTTGTACAAAAAAAATTTATTTAGCCAGTGGTTGGAATCATCGGTCAAGAAGAAGACCCCAAGTCTGCTTGTATTTTGATGCTCAGTTCAAAACACCTTTTTCTGTTTTGTAGCTGCTTCATTGCACAGAAAGAAAGGCAGTGTTGTTTTTTTCTTGTTACACAAATAGACCAGATGTTAAACAACACCAAAGCAGTTTCATGTTAAAAATAAATGTTCCTTTCCTCGTCAAACCAAAATTGCAACTGAATCGAGGGGCTAATTTAAGATCAGTAGTGGACTAAAAATATTGATCCAGTTCAACATGTTGTTGACCTGAACTGAACTACTGAGAAAATATTCAGCTGGAAAAGTTAAAATATTTCTATGACAGACAACTCTAATACAAACATATAAAGTCAGTCCTACTGATAATATAAGACATAGACTATGTTCACAAGGTGGCCAACTTCATGTGACATCACGTTGTTCTGGTATGTTCCGCGTTGTTCAAATGTTGAGATTCAAAGACAATGGCTATTAAAAATCTAGAGAGAGATCGGGCCATAGAATTAGGGATGGGTCATGTATTTGAAGATTTGCCTAGTCAATGATTTTACATATAATCACAGTGTTCATGTCAGGTAACTTTAAAATGAGATTTGTTTTCCATGAAGGTTGTCTTCTCCATTTAATCAGCTTCACAATGACTCATTAGACACTTCTCAAACTTCCCGCCTGTAGAGGTGAACTGGTAAAGGAAGGAGTAACTGAAGCTTCCTATGGATCAGCCAAATGTCATTTGAATGACCAAATCATGAGTCAGGTACAGAAAACACAAAGTTGAAACAGCTCAACATAAACGTTGAGAATGAGAAGAAGATGCTTTTTTACTTCACATGTAGTGGAGAGACTTTGATGACAAATTCAATCCATTTAAAACGTCCGATGTGATATTATATTATTTGTCATAACTCATAATAAAGGGGCCCCAGTGGAGTAGTGGTTAGTCCACCCCACGTCCTCCACACAGGCGGTCTGGGTTCAAGTCCGACCTGTGGATCCTGCAAGTCATTCTCTTCTCTCTCTCTCACTCTGATTTCTGATGCTATCCACTTTCCTGTCTCTACCACAAAGGTACAAAGCCCCCCCAAAAAGAAAAACTCAAGATAAAGAGCATTTCTCTCTCTCTCTCTCTCTTCCTGCAGGTGGCTGGTTTCCCCCGTGGTGGTCCACCTCCTCAATTATTGCCAGGCGGTGGTGGTTTCAGGCCGTTTTTCGGGGGCCCTCCTCCCCCACACGGTCACAGAATGGGCCCGCCGCCCCCTCACGGCCCTCTAAACCATGCGCCGCCCATTCGACACAACACCACCCACCTTCACCCCCAGCACCGCCGCATGCTGACGCAGCGCATGCAGAACAGAGGAGGGTGAGGATTGTGTTTGTGTGCATGAAGTTAACATTGATTAAAGTTAATAACACTTAAAGTTAGTGTAAAATTTTACCAGACGCTCTTTTCATTCAAATAGCTGCTTGATCTGCCTCCTTATGTTTGTTACTTTACCTCCATGTAGGGACCGGAGCAGGACTGGAGGGGACCGGCGCAGCAGAGACCCCTACAGTAACCTGATGACTCAGAAAGAGAAGGAGTGGGTCACCAAGATCCAGATGATGCAGCTGCAAAGTACTGACCCATACCTGGATGACTACTACTACCAGGTTGGTTTGTTTCATTGTTACTCTGTTGTCTGTGGTCATGATGGAGGTGTAAGATGGGGGTGTTAAAAATCCTGAAAGGAACTTGAGTCTATTTTTTCCTTTTCTACCCCTGAGAACACAACAGTACAGTATGTCTTATCTTTTAACAGAATATGTGTAGGTGGTGTTTTCTGTTTGTCTGGTCTCTTTAAATGAAAAGTTATCACTGATAGAAAAACCTTTGCCATCCCTCACCATAATCAATCAAAATGCTGTTGGTTTCACTTGTATGTCATTTACAGGAATCAGTGTTAACTGTTTCATAACCAGCTCAAACCTCCTCACAGGAGCTTTAACTTCAAATAGTAAAATCCAAGAACGAGCCGTTCCTCTGTTCCTCTGTCATTGATGAATCTTCACATCTTGTGTCTGTTTTCTCATTCAGTCTAGGTAAGGATCACTTATAGTGTAACTCACTGTGTGTTTGTGTGTCTGTGTTTACCCATGCAGAACTACTATGAAAAGATGGAGAAGCGTCAGGAGAAAGAGAGAGACAGCAGCAAGAAGGAGCACACCACCAAACTCATCACTCCACAGGTCGCCAAGGTTGAACACACCTACAGACCCGGTAAAAGACGAACCGTTTAAGTAAATATGCAAACTAGGGTTGATTATTACACACATGAGACTAAATGTTGCTGTATGTGTCAACAGTTCAGTTTGCTGGCTCTCTGGGTAAACTGACGGTCTCCAGTGTCAACAACCCTCGAAAGATGATCGACGCAGTGGTGACAACCCGCACGGATGACGAGGTCTGTTTGCATTCCTGATTCTTTTCTCCTTAGGCTATTTACACATCGTTCTTTACACATCGTGTAGGCCAATGTTGGTTGACAGTGTCTCTTGTCCCTGCTTTAGAAGATGTTCCCAACATCTTGGAATCCCTTGTGATTGGTTGTTCAGCTAAGCAAATCAGTGCGAGATAAAGAAACAGATTAAGCAAAGTACTTTTCTTTCTTCTCAGAGAGGCGAAAAACCCCTGAGGGGCTACACTTGTTAACAGATGTGACATGGGTCAAACTGCTTTTAGTGTTAGTGCTGCAAACTCCTGGAATATTTTACAACAGGACCTGAATTTGAGCACTTTTATCCCTTATGGACACTTTAAAAATATTATTTTTTAACCGCCCAATACCTGACTGTAACTGTTTTATTTGATTTTAATTACTGATTTATCACTGTAGTAATTTCAAGCTTTTAAATTATTTTAGTGTATATATTTTATTGTTCTTATTGCTTTTATTGCTTATTGCTCATAAATCTGCGTGATAAGAACTGTGTTCACGTTTCTGAGAAGTTTTTAGTAATTTGATGCAAAGCCATGATTGACAGCTCTGCCAACAAATGAGGCTCCTGAAGCGCTGTGTGCTGTACTGAATTAGCCGACTAGTAGAGCATTATTGTGCACACTGTCTTCATCTACACATTATTACTTCATAGATATCCTCACCACTACGATATCATTTAGGAGGTATTTTAAAAACATTTCAGCAACTTTCCCTCTTTCTAACAAAATGAGTTCACATTTGATGTAACATGCTAATGTTTTTACCATCGTTTGTAGTAGACAAATTCCAAAGTTTGGGGTGCCGATGGTCTAGCAGGAAGGTTGGGATGCCTCCATGTTTTGTAGGCTGTAGTTTTCCAAGCAGGCGGCTTGGTTCGAGTCTAATCCCCGCTCCTCTTCCCACATGTCATTCCCCACTTTCTCTCCCTGATTTCCTACTCTCTCTACTGTCATATACAAATAAAAGCATAAAAGAATAAATCTTAATTAACAAAATATCCAAAGTTTGTCTGCAACAGAAAATGTATAACTTCACTTGTCAAGATTGTTTTACTGCTCAACTTTACTAGCAGCTACCTAAAAGAAGTGACAGGATGATAACATTACAGTAGCTGTGAGCCTTTTTTTTAAAGATCTCATTATTGAATCATTCTGTTTCTTTGTTTAAATCAATATTTGTGTCTGTCTACTTCCCAGGAGAAAAGGGAGAAGCAGGTTTGGAATAAGAGGCGACAGATCCTCTACACCGTGGAGAAGGTAAGATGAGGAAGTTCTTTTCATGTCAATCATGTGATGATTTATACTGCAAGAAACTCTCCTGGACCTTTAATACATCCTACTTACTCCTCTCTTTATGTTTTTCTATCCATCTTCAGATGTACAGTTTGCTGCTCGAGGTTCAAGACTTTGAGAAACGTTTTGTGCAAACGCCAGAGGAGGATCGCGAGGCTCTGCTGGAGCAGCACAAAACCAACACAGTGCAGCTGTGCAACTCTCTGCGGGAGAAGGAGTGGGACGACAGGTGAGAGGAAGACAAATATTAAACAGATTTTAACATTGTGATCCCGCTCCTCCACAAACACTCATCCTTTGTATCTTTTATCTTTAAAGGGTGAGCGATGAGCAGTGTGTGATGATCATGTCTGTGAGGAAGGGCAAGCGGCTCATCTCCAGGCTCCTCCCTTTCCTGCCATCGCCCCAGGCCTCCGCCGTTGTCATGGCGATTGCCCGCAACCTTCCCGCCCTGGCCAAGAAGGACAAACAGGATCAGGTAACTGTTTCAAATTGCATCATCATTTTTACATCCAAATATAGCTCCAGTTAACTCCTGTGCCTCTATGATCTGCAGTTTACATTTATCTACCTACATCATTTTTATGCTGGAGCAGAAGGCATCCATGGTTGTTTTCGTGTCTCTGTAATAAATTAATAAAGAGAATTATCAAAAATGACTCCCTCTGGTGAAGAACATGCAGTTTGTCATTGAGGTATGCTGCAGTTTTCTAAATTTGCTGCACACTGATTGTTCTGGCAGCCTGTGACTCTTAACTGTTCATGAAAGTGACCGCCTGTTGGAACAGTTTCCTGCACTTTGCCCTGACCCCTATCCTCTGTGTCCAACCCCTTTTTAGGTGCTGTGCTGGTTAGTGGAGCCCGTTTCTGCTGTCATCCAGTCATTGTCGAGCTCCAGCCTCACAGACCTGCTCCAGGAGCTTCAGGGCAGCGAGGGTCAGCTGGCCACAGTTCTACACAACAAGGTACACACAGAGAGTTAGTGGTCTTTATCTGGGAGTTGTTGACAATAATAGAAATATAGAACTAAGTGTGGGAGCACCACACACACTTGTCTCACACACACACACCTCTCTGTTTGTCTAGTTTGGTGTGACGCTGCTCTATCTGATCCTGAGTGAAGGAGAGAGGATGCAAAGCTCTGACCCCAACTGTCAACTCATGGACGACAATCGATGGTGAGCTGCTCGTCTCTCACTGATGACCTCATCATTCCCTGATACACCACCCTGCCATAGTGGACATCACGGATCTCAGAATTGTAGCAGTGGAATCAAATTGAGCAGTCATTCCACTGTTTGTTTCTTTATCCAGCGCAGTAACAGGCAGCATCTGGAGTTATGGTTGTGTTGCTCCGTTGTTGATGGTCTTATGTGATGTTATGTGTGTTGTTGTAGTGGCTGTTTGGAAATCATGTGAACCCAGGAAGAAAAGCTGCTGCCATGCAGAAGATAATGGGGATCTAAATATAAACAAACAAATGTTTCTCTAGGCTCAGACTGAGAGATGGACATATAAACTTTCCAGTCAGCTAGAATCACGTGTCATATTCAACTTTATTTTTCACCAGATTTAATTCTGCCAGATTTACTGCTTTCAATGTCCTGGTTTAGGAGAACAACATCTTTTTTTCTTCCTTTTTTTCTTAGTCTGATCTTAGGGTATAGTGTAATGTTAGGTTAGGTTTATACTTGACGGTATATCAAATGTGTTTTCTCCTCTAAATTAGTTTAGTTTTTGCCACAAACAACATTAATCTGCTCAATTTATCCACGCACAGACACAAACACCAGGAGTATGCCTCGCGTTTTTGAAAAGTTCCCCTCGATATTCTGTTATTTATACGAGTCCAGCACACCATCAGCAACAGGCAAGCTGTACATTAACATTCATAAAACGAAGCCATGAGAAGCTTCAGTTTTGGTATGAGCAAGAGGGGTGTACGGACAGTGGACCTTCTCTCTCTCTCTCTCTCTCTCTCTCTCAAGCGGATGTGATACAGCTCTCTTGGTTTTGATGTGTGCCGTGAGGTACAGAGAGCACGCACCCGCAGTCTATCGCTCACGCAGCAATTTTATTAATGAATTAAAATTAAATAAAAACAGGTCAGAAATATACTTGGGCGGACATAAATTATCTGTGTGTGGGAAACACTGCTATCCTATATATTCAAAGAAAAAGTTCAAAAGTTTTAAGCAACAAAAGCTAAAAGTTTGATCCTGATATCATCTGATCTTATCATCTATATTTCTTTTTTTGAACAACCTGATTTCATGAATTGTTCCTGAAATATCTTAGAACTGACTGGGCCAAAACTGTAACACTGAACATGTAAGGGTTGTTAGTCTAGGTTTGTGAAGTTTACAGCCTGACAAACAGTTTGCAAGTCAAATCAGAAACTTCAGACTGATAATTCAAATGAGATGCTTTAAAGGGCAGCCCTGATTTTCTCCTGATTGATTCTGTTTATTCATTTTGATACATGTTTCCCCTCCATTATCCCTCTCTCTTCCCCTCTCTACTCATCCAGGACTGAGTTGGTGTTTTCAGTGACGAGGGAGCTGCTTAGCATTCCTTCCTCCTCCCTCTCTTCCCCCCTCTTCACCCCTCCAAACCTCCTCTCCCTCCTGTCACGTTATGTTGATCGGCAGAGGCTGGAGCTGCTGCAAGACAAGCTACAGTAAGTGACATCAGCGCGCACACACACACACACACACACACCTTCTTCCATTGTTGCAGTAACTGTTGTTACGTGTGATGTTAAAAGCTAAAACAGTTTTTTTCCCTCTTCAGGATCTCTGCTTTGTCCAGGTAGAAGTTACAGCAGACATCACAACCCCTCCCACTCGATGCAGACCTTTTTGTTTTTGTGAGTGTCAGGAGTGTGTATGTGTGTGTGCGTGTCAGGTGTGCATGTGTGCTCTTGAGGTGAATCCATGATGGAACATTTTAATCCAGCAGAATTTAGTCACTTTTTTTTTGTGTGTCAAGTCTCTGGTGTGTGTGTGTGCATGTGTGTATGGAGAGTGTGTGAGAGTGAGTGACGATCAAAATGAAATCTGCATTTTTAAATATCTTGTTTACGATTATGCCTGTGATGAACCTTCAAATTAAAAGTATTTCTATTATATAAAAGATATGTTTCTCGCCTTTCTTCCACACATCATCAACATTGGCATAGAATAAAACATGAAGGTTTTTTATGCAGACTTTTTCAAATGCAAGACCCGAAAAAAAAAAAAAAGTAGGTTAACAAATTGTTACCATGTCTGTAATTTGACCCAGTGGACAGGGACACGGCTCAACTCAACAGGGGCATCGACTCGTGTGTAAAAACAAACAAACAAATAGCTATTATTTGCGCTTCCTGTCTGCACTTATGTCAACTGAAAAGGGAAATCCATATGATTTAAGATAAATACGGCAGTTTCTAATTTCGTTTTTTTTATGATTGTATGAAAGAAAGAGACTGATTACAAAAAATGCAGTATGTGACTTTTTTAAATCTTCCTACCACAACTACCACATAAAAACACTAATAATAATATTGGTGCTTCAATTAGGTTATACATTTATGTAAACATCACAGGCGAACAAAAAAGTACCGGTACTATACAAATTACAACTAGCACAAAAACCATCAAGTTAGATTGATTGCACAACATATTTAAGAACATTTGTTCCACATGAAAACAAACAAGAACAGTTCCATTTTGACTGACATATACACTACTGGTCAAAAGTCTTTGAACACCCTGATTTTTCTAGTTTTTCATTGAAAATTATGCAGTTTAATGTCTAATTTTACTCTGAAATGAAAGCATAGAACAAGTAAACAATTCAAATTAAAAAATAAATCATGGAATCGATTTATAAACCAAAATATGTTCTAAACTTTTGACTCATCAAAGTAGCCACCTTTTGGCAGGTATAACAGCTGGACACACTCGTGGCATTCTTTCAACAATGGAAATCAGATATTCTTCAGAAAGTTCTTTCCAAATCTGTTGCAGAAGTTCCCATAAATGTGTGGCACTTGTTGGTTGCTTTGCTTTCACTCTTCTGTCCAGTTCATCCCAAACCAGCTCGATGGGGTTTAAATCTGGAGACTGCTGGCCACTCCATGTTTTTAAGCTTACCATCTTGTTCTTTTTTCTTAGTTAGGTAGTTGTGGCATAGCTTGGAGTTATGTTTTGGGTCATTATCTTGCTTCAGGATGAAGCCCTGACCAACTAGGCGCATTCCAGAGGGTACTGCATGGTGCTGCAGAATGCTTTGGTAGCCGTTTTGGTTCAGGGAGCCTCTCACTCTGTACAAGTTACCAACCCTGGAACCAGCAAAAAAGCCCCAGACCATTACACTTCCTCCTCCATGTTTGACTGATGATGTCACACACTGAGGAACCATCCTTTCGCCTACTCAACGGCGTTCAAAAATCCTGCATGATGAACCGAAGATTTCAAATTTTGAAATTCAGTTCATAACACCTTCCAGTCTTCAGTGGTCCATTGGCGGTGTTTCATGGCCCAAGCAAGCCACGTTTTCTTATTCTGACATCTCAGCAATGGCTTTCTTGCTGCAACTTGACCTGTCAAACCTGCAGCTTGAAGTCTTCTCTTCACAGTTGAAACTGAGGCTTGCTTACTACGACCATCATTGACTACTGTTGCACTGATAGCCGCCTATCAAGCAAGCTGTTGACTCTCAGAAACTTGTCTTCTGATTCTGTTGTGTCTTTGGGTCTGCCAGACCTCTTCCTGTCAGAGTTTCTCTCAGTTTCTGCATGCCTCTGGATGGTGAAGGAAACTGTACTCACTGACACACATGTCATTTAAGTGTCATGATGGTTTGTCTATCTTCCATTGTTAATTGCCTTTTTCTTGCAATTTTTATAGCAACACACAACTTTCTGAAGAACAATAATGTTCAAATAATGCTCACGAGGGTCACGAGGGTATAGTACCACAGTGTGTTCCAACACTCCTTTTATGCATACAGGGGGGGTTGTAAGTAATAAAGGGAAGTTGGGACACCTGTAGGAATTGGTAGCACCAACTTCCAAGGCTTGATCAACCTCCATTGTTAACCAATTTGTATAATTCTGAAATGTACATTAATTTTCAGTTTAGGGTAACCTTACTGTTTTTTTAAACCTCTGGCAGTTCACCACTTACCTTTGTTACCATTTCAAGCTATTCATTGTGCTTGAACTGCTTGAATTTCAATAAAAAACTGGAAAAATTGGGGTGTTCTAAAACTTTTGACCGGTAGAGTATATATATATATTTTTTTATCCCTGCACAAGTTAAAGATATAATTCTGTTAAAACAGTAACGTTATATAGATTGTTAGCATCTTGATGCCTTTTCCTCTCTGCAGGGTACATTCAGGTAGCACTCAGGTTTTTGCCGTCCACCTTCATATCCTCAGTTCTTGTCTGCTCCGCCCTGATGGCCTGAAGAGATTCAGCAAAAAAAAAAAAAAAAAGTTATTATAAAGTACCAGGACAAAGGCTTCAGCTATTTTAGCGCCCTAGGAACCCCCAATCTGCCCGGACCGTATCATCACCTTGGAAAAAAGTAAAGAAATTGAGAGAATCATTTTGTCATATATTGCATGAAGTAGCCTAATATAACTCATATACACAAAAGACACCTGATTGGTTGATTCAATTCAATTTTCTAAGATTTGCTACAATCTTAGCAGATTGTAACTTCCTACAGGGACTGTAAGAGTAACACACACAGCAAGGCAGCAGAAACAGACACGTGTTTTCCGGCTCATTAATCAACAGAATCAATGATCAGAGTGAAATGTTCATTTAGTTATCAATCACCCTTTAACAAGAAGTTAGTCCTGACCTCGCTGGCTAATAGAAAGAAAACTGATAATGTAAATACACATCGACTTCACTTTTGAAAAACAAAGAGGCAACGTCTACTTCTTCTATGCAGTCTAGGGTTGGTGTAAAACAACTAAAACTTGGGAGTCTTTAATGTCTCACCTGTGCAGACCAGCTCAACAGCAGAGGACGAAAACCACGGCAGCACAGTCCCACAGCCCAGCAGCGCAGACTCAGATCCATCACAGTCGGAGAAGAAACGTGCCATCAATTCTTTTTTGGGAAGTTTGATGTCTTTGGTTGAAATTGCAGAGCCGCAGCCGAGCTGTCTGCACACCAAAGACGCATGTTTCATGTCCCCACTGTCGTCTCTGCGCTCAGGAGCAGAAGCGAGTTCAAGTATTTCACAAACAGTCTGCCGGCACAGAACTCGCTGTCATCCTCTCTGAGCACGCCATCAACCAACTTCACCTCCAGGAACTCTGCTAGAAAACACAGAGGTTAGTTCAGACAAATAACACAAGTTAAATAAATATGTTAACATTAACGGGATGATCTACCTTCCACCTTGACGGATAAGCTCTGACTCTCAGAAGAGAAGTTGTGACTGAAGACAAAGTTTACATAAACACAGCTGTAGGTCCCTGTGTGAGCCTCGTCTGCTGCTGGAAACATGAAGTGTGCCGTGTGATTGACAGCTGGTTGGGAGATGCTGATAGCTTGGTTGAAGCGGATGCTGAAGTAGCCTCCGGGGTATTGTGGCTTCACAGAGCAGGTGACACTGAAGCCGTGGCCTTTGGAGAGCAAAATGTTCCGCGGCTGATAGTCTGACAATTCACGCATCGTATAGAAGAGAGAAATGTTCGGTTGAAGGAGGATTCCTGCAGGAAAAAAAAAAGATGCAGAAACATTAGAGATGTGAGCAGAGCTGATTAAAATGTTTGTATAATGCAGAAGGGCAAAAGATTGAAGAGTTTAAAAGTGCGTTCCAAACGTGTTATGAAGCAGCGCCTGTTTTTTAAGAGTTGTAAACCCACTAACATTTGTAACAACAGAAGTCTTGTTAATGCTATATTTCAGTTTCATCATCAGCTGAGTGTTTCTCACCTGAACAGACGACTTGGACAGCGGAAGAGGACGGCCACTTCTTCACCGTCCCACAGTCCGTCAGAGCACGTTCAGAGCCGTCGCAGTCAGAATAAAAGCGCCACGCGTGCTGAAGTCCAGCGGATCGCTCCACTCTGCGGGTGGAGACAGCGGAGCCGCAGTCGAGCTGCCTGCACACCACAGCCGCCTCCTTCAGACTCCAGGAGTGACGATGGCTCACGGGCCTCCACTCGCCCTCGTCCTCCAGCTCCAGTCTACCAGCACACTCCGTCTCCTCATTCACCAGCCGGACGTTGTTCAGCTCTGTGAATCAATCATCAGTCACAATAATATCTCACATAATTATCTTGTGGGAACATTAAGAACTTTTTTTACAAACAGATGTTAACAAGTTTTGACAGAACATTTAAATATATGCCTTCTTTAAAATAAATCATTTATCTTGTTTTTTCAATTCCTTATTTCACAATGACGACTTGCCAAAAGCCGGTTGATTTACAGCGTAGTTAATAAATAAAATAATACATTAGCAGAAAACACAGTTTTCGAAACCGCATACTACTATCTAAATCAGTATGCAGTATATTGTATATATAGTGTATACTGCATACTGAGTTCAACAGTAGTATGTAGTATGACTGCCAGTCGTGGGTTATTTTGCAGTAAGCTCGGCACGGTTAAACTGGTTTCCGGTCCAGGAATGCTGAAATAAACAACAGCCCATCTGGAGGTAATTAACATAATTAAAATAAAACAATCTCTCATATCTTCTGTCATTTATACACAATGCCCTGGGTTGAAATATGATTGGCATGCTATTAAAGTTGTAGTATACTTTTCAGACATTCAGGTTTAACTTTTACTCAGCTGTGAATAATATGTAATAATAGAGCGAGCCAAGGACCCTGTAACTGCAGCTGCTGGTCCAGCTGTGGCACTGTACAGTCTACAAAGCAGGAAAATCTGAGGTGGTAAGACTAAATATATGAACATGTCATATTTGTTATTGGTTCATAATGTGGCAAGATATTCAGTCACCGCCACCGACAAGTTCAAACAGCTGCACTCTGGCATTTTGATCTCTGACCTGGCACTTTGCATTGTGGGAAACAGTACGCGAGATAGACTGGTCTGATGCATACTGTACATTTTTCCAGAATCAGTATGACATCCTGGTATTTTTGGCATACTGCGGATCTCGCAGTTGTTCGCATACTGCATTCTGCATACTGCATTTTGGCCAAATCAGTATGTACTAGTAGTATAGTATGTGGTTTTGAAAACAGCCATACAGTTATCCCGTAATATTTGTTTTCTCTTTATATCAAAGTTTGAATTCACATTAATTCCCATACTCTCTTTACACGTACTAATCTTTGTATCCATTAATTAAGTCCTAGATAAACTCCTCCTGTCTTTTCCAAATACTTTACAGATTTATTTTCTTTTTTATTTATTTATACTACCCTCCACTGCCTCCATGGAAACGAACTGGACACTAATATGCTGATAAAATGGAGGTTTTTACCTTCCACTTGAACGGAGATAAACTTCGGCTGTGAGAAAATGTCTGAACTGAAATTGAAGTTGTAATCGCACTGGTAGGTTCCCTGGTGTGCATCCTCAGCAACAGGAAAGATGAAGACGGCTTTCTTGTCGTGAGGTGACTGGATCCACTCGTTGGGGTGATCAGTGCCAATGTGAGATTTCAGGCGGATGGAAAGGACGCTGTAAGGTGAATCCACGGTGCAAGAGATGGCAAAGCGATGGCCCTTGAAAACCTTTGGCGGATATGTAGACACAAATTCTGATCCTTGCACATTGTGAATGTTGATGTATGGTGCTGGTGGAAGTTCTAAAAAAGAAGAAAAACAAGACAACTTAGATTATTTGCAAATAATGCACAAAGACTGTGTTCTTACCTGATGAAAACAATATTTGACATAGCATCAGATTTGTATTTGATTTTTCTTTCAACAGCTCAGATGTTCTCCACATTCACAGAGCCACACAGAGGTCCATGATGGGCGCTGACATTTGGAGACCGAGTCTGTACAGTCATTGTCTGGGACAGGCAGGTTTTTTTCTAACTGATCGTGAGGTTTCATTGGCTTTTGACTCACGACGAAACATTCTTCCGGGAACGATGGGCATACTTAAATATCTGTGCTGCAATGTTTACAGTCCAATGAGCAACTTGAGAACTATTTAATGTGCTCCGATCGAAAGCAAAGCAAAATTCAGCCCTCAAGTTACGGCTGTACAATAACTGGTCATTTTCCTGGTTCAGTGCATCCCCCATAGAATTGCCGATTTCTCTGTTCGTGCAAAGATTCATTTGAACTATTTCTAGTCATTTTCACAGAGGCTTCACTCTTTGCTTATTTCAGCGTTATGAGGGCCAAGAAAATGTGATTTACTTTCATTTAATGGTTCTTAAGTTTGCTGAAATAACATCATGATGCAGATTTCTAAAAAAATTAAAATGCATGCTTTGTCAGGTCTGCCCTCAAGAGGAGAAGAAAAGAAAGCATTTGTTTGTTGACTGGAGGCTGGAATCGATCATTTCTGACCTAAAGGAAACCTAAATGCTGATTGCTTTCATGACACAGCGTCAAGCAGAGCTGTGGCTCAAGTTAAAACTTTTGATCTAGCACGGATTGTTAGCTGCACTTGCTTTATAGAGAGAAATAAATCATCGTCTGATTACTGACATTCTGACTTTCCATACAGACGGCTTTCCTGCATACACCTAATATGTGACATGTGATTGGTCAATACTATTTGGATTACAGTGCTATGAAAGGAAACAAGAACTCTTTCCACACTAAAATCCAGGGCCCCTGAGTGCAAACTATAAATTTTTTGTAAAATCTTTTAATAGGATAATATTGTCTATAAACCAGCTTCCTTCTTGCAACAAGTCATAAAGAGCATTTCATCCCAATAAAAACAATAACAACCTCTAATCCAATGTCCTGCTTAACATTTGTAAATTTGCCTATTGTTGCAAGGGCACAATATCAAATAATCCACGTATTAACTATTAGTTGTTTACATTTTTGTCTTATTTTATTCCTTCTGTTTTAGCAAAATACAGAGTAATAAAAAAGAACCTTGATTATTACCTGTGCAGGTCAAGGAGACTTCATCACATTCCTGCAGCATCTCCTCCGTGGCGCTGATCGGCGTGGAGGGACAATCCCTCAGATGCTTCTCTGTTCCTGCACAGTTCAACACAGGACTTCTGGTGAAGTTAATACTCCTGTCGTTCTCAGGGAAACCACACTTCAGGTCTCTACAGGTAACGAGTGCCGCCTCCAAGCTGAAGAAAGAATAACATACTGGATGCCACGACTGACCGGACCTCACTTGTAGTTTTCCTGAGCATCTGTTGGGTCCTTTCACGAGCGTCGTATCCTCTGTGGAGGAAGGGGGAAGTCAAGTGGAAGACGTCTTCACTGTTAACAGAGCAGTTCTAAATCAGCTCATCATCATCAGTTAAACACAGTCGTCTTTAACTGTAACCTGGATTACAAAAAACAAATCCTTTAACCTTGTAAACATAAGGTTTTGAAATTAAAAGCAGATCACACCCATTAGTTTAAACAGTAATTAAATGAATTGGAAACCAAACTTAAACTCACCACTGGTCTAATAGAAAAGCAGAAATCAATAATATACTAATGAGTGCAGGTACAAACAATAAATGACAAGAGAAAGCTAACAAGGTTAGTGTGAGATTGATCATATTTCCATCGATTAGAAGATACGCAACTCGCTTTTTAATCTAAAGAATGACTGCAGCAGTCACAGCTGATTGACTAGTCTTTATAACCAATGCACCGCTAGAGCGGAGGTTTTATGATGTGGAGGCAGGAAACATTGTCACTGATCCAGAACTCTATCCATCCTATGATCTGCCTAACAACAATGTACAAGTTATGCTAAGGTGCTTTATTCGTAGAGATTCACATGCCGCCGATGAAGCAGCTGGAGCGTGTCTTGCCTAAGGGCACGTTGGACATGTTGCTGCAGGAGCTGGGGATCGAACGAACGACGACTCTACCAGCTGAGCCACAGCCGCCCCATGTAAAGTATAATCTACTTCACGGTCCGTTTTACTAAAAATCAGACAATCGTTTACTAAGTGAACATCAGGCTTTTCAGAAGATTTCAGAAGATTTAAAGATAGCGATGGAAACCAATTACTGATGAGGAAACTGTGAGGTAAAATAATACATCATGTACGTAGTAGGCTCATTATCTCATAGACTTATATAATCAGACTTGTTTTTAAAACCAGAGGAACTTCCCCCTGGTGGCCATTAAAAAAGTACTAGTTTTATCGGCTTTGGCTTGACTTTGGAAACCAAAAGGCTGAGCATACTTCATTCAGTCTGGGGTAAAATAATAGGGTATATAGAGTTGGAGTTATAATCACGTTACCTTCATTTGCCATATTGCTCTGAGTTCTGTTATAGTAACAAAGTAAATAATGATCTATCATAGAGTATGGACAAAAGGATAGACAAATAGACACAGAGATACATTTAACCATTACCTTCACAAGTCACAGCCAGGACTAAGTTTGAACTAGTCCCCCTCCATGACTTACAAAATGAGGAACTCGTCTCACAGTCAGTCAGCCACACAGGTCGAAGCTCTGGAAGATAGTTCCTTGAGACTGAGATGAAACCTCCACATCCCATCTTCCCACAAACCTTGGCAAAGTGTTCTGGTTTCAAGGAATTCCAGCCATCCTCCAGAGGCCTCCACTCTGCAGCCTGCTTTCCCTCCAGTGTGCCTTGACAGAGAGTCTCTCCTCCACTAGCCTCAGATCGGTCTCTTCTGCTCAGAGACAAGAGTGTTAACACGTACTTCTTCATGGAAGCTTTCACAAAGTTTCACAATGTCAGCTGACAAATTTGGATTAAAGAAGTAAAATACACACATTATATGTCATCAAAGTTCAGCTGTCAGGGCTTTGCTATCATATCAAGAGTTTGTAGGTAGCCTACACATGCAACCCTTTGTGTAGATACCTCTGTTTGTTGCATTAATGCTGTAAAAGGGGATAAAATGATGATAAGTGCATACATACTAGAGCATGTTATTCCAGCGGCTTGTCTGCATTCCTCTTTCATGAAACTGACACAGTCCTCCAGACGGGACTCGTTGCCTTACACTGGAACTGTTTGAATAAGGAGGGATTTATTTTTGGTGACCTCCGACGAAAGTTGTGGAGGACCACAGCCAAGCTCCCTGCAGAACATCTTTTGAGTCTCAGAGTCGAAGCTGTCCTCAACACTGAATCCCAACCCTGGTCAGACTTCACCTCTGCACCTCCTGAGCAGATTTCTGAATCCCCGACAAGCCTCAAAGACTCTGAAAACAAAGAGAAGAATAAGATGCAGCGGCATGCAGAGATGTAACAGGGGCTTAAAACTCCTGCCTTGAACTGGCAATGTAAAAAGGGGCTAACATTATAGCACAAAGGCATAGTGAGGGCAGAGAGCTTTGTTACAGCGCTGTTGCAGACTCACAATGTTAAAAGGCTTAATACAAATGTTTTCAGTACCCTTACAGGTCTCTGAAAGGTATTACAAATAAACTGTGATAAGATTTTGGGAAGAACTTTGTCTAAAAAAAGAATGTAAATTAAAAGGTAATGATACATTTAAAATGTTTGACATAACTGACATACCAAATGATTTTAAACACGTGTTTGTTTTACCTGAGCAGATCACCTGCAGACTGTAGGTAGAGTTTACTCTCCTCTGCATACCTCGTGTTCTGTGATTTCTGCACTCCTTCAGGGTGGACTCAGAGCCCTTGCACACGAAGTCAACCTCCCATGCTGGTAGATTTGTCACGTTGGTGCTTTGTGTTATTGAAACTGTAGAGCCACAACCCATCTGCTTGCATGCGACTTCTGCATACCAGAAACTGTGCTGTCTGCCTGTGTTCCTGATGTTCAGAGCTCTCCACTCTCCTTGACACTTCATCTCCAGCCTGCCAGAGCACTTGCCGGCACCGTCCACCAGCCTGGCGTCCTTATGCGCTGAAAAAGAAGTAAAGGACAGTTTACTCATATATAGTCTTCAGAAGCTATGCAATTTGAAGTGCTTTACAAGGGCAAAGAAATACATGGGGAAAAAAACATTTCAAAACATTAAGGCTGCATTTTTCAATCTGAATTTTAAGAATAAATTTCTGATATTATGGGAATAAAGTTATATCACACAAATAAAAGTGTAAGAGACTAAAAAGTTTGTACTATTTCGAGAAAAACAATGTTGTACGAGAAGAAAAGTGTATAATTGCAAGAATAAAGTCTTAATATTGAAAGAAGTCAGAATTACTCAAATTTAATTATTTCAAGAAAAAAGTTGTAAAAGAATGAAGAGGTTATCTCTCTAGAATAAAGTCATATTTAACGAAAATAAAGATGTATACGAATAAAGTCATAATATAGTTCTCAAATCAATTGAAAAAGAGGGAGGGTTCTAACAGTTCCTATTGTTTCCAGGACACTGTAATATTGGTGTCCCAGTCCATTACATAAGGTCCACATACACACACAGTCTGACATGCACAAACAAAAAAAACGCCTCTGTTACTACCTCAGAAGAAATACCAAAACATGTTAAAGTTTGTGTTTGGAATGCTTTACATGCACTCATACATTCATGCATACCAGTCTGCCTATATTTTTTCATTTATTTGAGGCTGATTTTTTATTTACTTACCTCGTTTAGAAGTAAATGTTGAGTTACATGTTTGCTTGAAATTGTATCTCTAAATATTTTTCAGTTGTGTTTAAAAGGAAGTGAGCCAGTGTTTTTGTTTTCAAAGTTTACATTTCGGGAATCCACTCAAGTCCGTTTGGCTGCTATAATCATCAGTCAGTATACACAGAGGTCCTCTCTGGTGCTCTGTTTTTTGGACAGGAAAAATGCAGAGACAAAAGGCACTTTGCTAGTTTAGGATGAGTACTTAAAAAATCAATAGGCCAGGAACCTCAACTTCCTGTATTTACTTTCTCTTTAACAAGAAAAACTTTGTTTTAGGTCTTACACAGTGATAAAAGGACTCCGTACTTAACAAAGACTGCACAGTCATGAACTAGGTTATGTTTGGATCCCTGTCAGAGTAATGATTTACTTCATGTGCATATACAAAATCATCATGTCAGTATAGGCTAATCTTTCGGGAATATAATCTTAATTCAATCATGTAGCATAGCAATTTCAGTTTATCAAAAAAGGATATGAAGATTGAAAAGCCTTTTTTTATTTTTATTAAAAGACTTCACTATAAAAAAAACAAAAAAAAAACACCTCTGCCAAGTAAACTATGTCACCAGTAAAATGTACTCACCAGCAGACTGACGTGACTGTTTGTCTTCTGCTTGTAGAGTGGACGTCTCAGTCATCAAGGCAACACACCAAACTACAACTAAAGACCATCTGACAAACAAAGTGTGCTGGATATAAAACATTTTTAAATCTGCTGTAATATCATGTAGCCTACACCAAGAACTGTACCAACATCTATAGTTTTGTTAGTGTGCTTGGCTTTGACTAGAGAGCAACAGAGCTGCAAACTGCACTCCTACAAGCACAGGCTTGTTTGCTCAAGCGTAGGATACATAGTTTTTCTGTAGTTTATTGCTTGTTCCCGCAACAACGTGACCAGGGGGCCAACGATGACCTTTTCTCCAACAAAGAAACAAAGAGAGCACATAGTGTGCCCCCTTTAGCTGTGCATGTGCACAAGGCCATTAACATTAAGTAGATAAAGTGGATTTACAGGTAGGGGAAAATTACCACACCAAAGCACAGATATGTTTTCTCTGGTTCTTAGATTTAGGCCTATAGGACGATACCTAAATAAAAGTAACTTTTTTGATGATTGGAATTATTTCTCCCAACTTCCTCAAAATAGACTACTGACAAATAAGTAGTATCGTGAAAGTCATGTTTGATTTTAATCACGGTTTCTCTAAATATCCATAAGGAGACAAGAGCTCGAGTTCGAGACCCGTGTGGAAAATTATAACCTTTAGGCTACGATCTTCTGTTCAATAGGCCTACTTTTACTTATCAAATTACCGTCTGATTCAGCCTTTAACACGAAGAAAACAAACGCTGAACGAGACGCCAAAGAAGTGTTCACAGAGTAAATTATCTGACGACGTGGGATGAAAAGAGACGTTTTGTTACCACTGGGCTCCAATGTTGAGCTTGTCTGGATCACAAAAAGACTGACGCCCGAACAGGGACTTGAACCCTGGACCCTCAGATTAAAAGTCTGATGCTCTACCGACTGAGCTATCCGGGCTCTTCTGAGTGCGAAAATGGAAAAATGATTTGAACACACGTACATTTATGGCGTAACCCTAACCCTAACCCTAACCCTAACCCTAACCCATTAGCTGATTACGGGGACGTCCAAATAAACCACACGCAACATGTATATTAAAAAATATGTTAACTGTGCGATTCACTCAGGGAGTCTTATAATGGCGACGGTCAGGCAGTCAATTACGATAATAATCCCAGAAACAAATTTGGCCTTTGGTCATAAAAACGAAATCTCCACAACGACTTCCGGTTTGTTTGTTTTTCCAGGATAAAATATATCTGCTCCAACAGATCCATCAGCAACAGTCTGCAAAAAATAAGACCAGGCATCAAAAACTCCTATATCAAGTTACTCAAACAAAAAACAGTAAAAAAAAAAACAAAAAAACATCGCATATCAACGAGACCTTCTTTAGCCTACTAACTATTCTTACGCAGGCACATTTTAAACTAATTCACTGTTTAATTAAATGATGTAGGCCTATTGTGTGTCAATCTGTGTCTAAGCTATGCTATGTCTACTTACTGTGTCACTCTAAAATCATAGCAGAGACCTTTTAGATATAAAGCCAGTTTAATGTTACAGCCGAAGTGGAGTATATTTGTTTTTACTTAATCTCTACACTAAACAGATGGAGTGATGGATGAATTAGGACGATAGGGGGCGCCACATGATCGTTCAACATTAAGTCTTTGTTCTGTCGGCGCTGGTTCGAATCCATCTTGAATATGTCTCTTTGGTGTCTCTTCAATGTATTATCTCCCTGCAGTTTTCCTTTGCAGAGAAAGAAAAAATCAAGGCCAACAAGTAAAGATGACTTTTAATAGTTGACGCGTTCACACATTTGTGCTTTTATTTTGAAGGCATACACAGCCAAAGAGGAAGTCGTCACGGGTTTGCGTTTACTGCTTGACACAGTGAGTGTTATCAAAAGAATACGCTTCAGTTTTCAGCTTCTATCCTGGAGCTTCAGTCATCAAAAGGCAAGTAAAAGAGACCGACACACACCGCTAAACATTTAAAAAAATAAGCAACCACAACCATCCATATAATATTTAAATAAGTGGCTCGAACGGAAAGGAGGTGTTCGGTTGCCAACTTCTTTGACGGCTTAGTGAACAATTGTGACGCCGTGATATAAAGTCGTGGTTTAAATATCAAAACTCTTATCATAACTCTAGCCAGTAGCTGATTGACTTCATATAACAAGGTTAAATATGCTAAGCGCTAGCAAGTGCAACAGGTGGCTCCGTGGCGCAATGGATAGCGCATTGGACTTCTAGTCAGACACTTGAGGAGTGATTCAAAGGTTGTGGGTTCGAGTCCCACCGGAGTCGCATTTTTCGTCCAATCTGTAATGTACCTTTACGAGATTTTCTCACGGTTAACGTAACGGCTTCGAAACCTTTTATTAAAATAACACACACAGATAATTAATAATTAATTAATAATAAGTTTCATTATTATGCTCTACTAATACAGCATAAAAATCATGCTTTGATATTTCAAATCCCCCCCCCCCTTAATACTTGTACACTGCTCCCAATATTTAGCTGGTGGAAGTTGTCTGGCTTTGTGTTTTATCCGAGTTTTGGTGTTGTAGGCTGTAAAGTGTTGGTGTGCTGTTCCTTTATCACTCTGTAATCGTCCTTGTGCATACGTTGAAATGTCATTGTGCAGGCCCCACTGTATACATTTACATTTACCAGGGTCTGGCATCAGGCAGCCTCTTTAAGTGCTCATACTATAGGGCTCAACAGTGTGGTTCAAGCAAGCACGAATTAAGTATATCATAAGTTAACTATCCAAGGTAGACTTACCATGAGCTACCTGAGTGTGAAACGATGGTGTATGCTCATGTAGAACACACAAGTTGGTATGATAGCAACCTCTTTTTAAAGGCTTTATATGATTTTTCACACTTAAATATAATATAAATCAAGTATATCCTCTGAAAATAACTCTGTGAGTCATGACTGTCTACAATGGGTGTAACACCAGAGTCCCACTGTCTGTGATGTTTTCAGAGTTATATTTTCAGTTTGTTGGCCGGCTGGCTCCTCCCCTCGTGTATAAAAGTTGTTTAATTGAGGGACTAGAGAAAAGAAGAATAACATACTGTACTCACTGCTTAACTGTGTTTCTAGATCACGCTCATTTCAGGTAAATTTACATGCAGTGTGAAGATACGAGCATAATAAAGATCACTATCATTAGCATGCTAACACAGCAATGCAGCACAAGTTGTTTTGGTTTCATTCTGGTGCTCAAGGGCGACATCTGCTGGATCAAAAAATCACATATAAAGCTTTTAAGAAGAAACATGGAAAAGAACTACACTCCTCACAACCATAGTGTCACAGCAACATCTCTGATTATAATAATACCCTTGTTATGATGCAGTGAATGTAATTGATATATTTCACTACACAAACTACAATATAGTAAAACACCTGTATTAACATTAAACGCTGTAACAACTATAAAAGTCACATTAAAACAACGTTTAATTAACGTTAATGTGTCAACGTTAATATCGTTGAATCAACATTGAAATCTGATGTTGTATCAACGTCACTTTTGCCCCCTTCATTAATATTGAAACAACGTTGAAATCATAACTAAAAATCAACGTTTCAATGGCTTTTCAACCACAGAAAATTACTTAACACATCAAAAATACATATCCTGCTT